CGTGGCAGGGGGGGTGGCGAAAAATCAACGAAAATCGATTGCCGCTAAATACCCAAAAAGTTAGGGGAGCCGAGGAGTTAACGTAACGTTGTTAACTCAACTCAGCCTCAAACTTGGCCATATACAAAAAGTTTTCCCTGCTCTCCAGCTTGTTCTTCGTTTTCATCGCTCTTTGTTGTTATTGTTGGTATTGTCGTTATTGTTGTTGTTTCTGCTGCCATTCCCTTTGGCTGATAAATCCCCAACGATTTGCGTCTCAGACTCAGCCAGTTTTTCTGTATATATTTAAATTTGTAGTCTTTTTTGTGCACTCCGCACTTGAAGCGTGTTGAAAGGGTACTGTCGAAACTGTGGAAAATTCTATTTGTGTCGAGGTCTTTGAGGGCGAAAATATTTCGGATGCCAAATCTAACAAGTAGCACTTAATACAGGTGAGTTAGTACTTACTTAGCTCAATTATCGTGGCTTACGCTGCTTGCAGACAACGATACAAATGGGTCTTGCTTTATACATATTATATTTTTATTTATTTTACAATCGTATACCTCTTTAAGGTATTGAAAATATATTGCTGCTTAAATTAATACAACTGAAGCATTGTAGAGGTAGTACTTGCATCCTGTTGAAGTACCAGATATCCGCGTTAATTGTGTGCAGTTTAGTTTCTTTAGTACTAATTCCTTCGGGTTGTTGGCAAGCTATCCAAAGTATCTTTAGTACGAGCCCAGCTACTGCTTAGCAACTAATCTAACTTAAACTGAAACTTATTGCACTGTCCGATTAGATAAGATAATTGATGTGAGACTTTAGACAACAAGCAGATAGCCGGAGCTGTTTTTGTGGGGGTCACTGGGAATGGAATATTAAATTAGTAATTAGCTCAGCAGCGTCAGCAACAACAACCAGATGTTGTCACAGCCAGCCTCCCACCTCCCACCTGCCACCACCCACCACCCACCGCAATTCGCTTTTCCCGCTCGGAAAACTTTTTCTTTCCCTCACCGAGACGAGACCTTAGTTTGCTCTTTTGCTTTTACTTTTGTTTCGTTTCCGTTTTCACCTGCAGGAATTACTCAAATTTATCTACGTGTGCTCTAGCTCTTAGGGCATTTTGCTAGTCACTCTACGGCCTGAAAACAGTGAGCACTCGATAATTGCAATGTTTCGATCACTTTGTTCCCAGTATAAGGATGCTGATATGGACTATTTTAAAACGATATCGCTCATTCGTTCCTATTTTCCTATTTATGCAACAGTTAGTTCCTATTTTATGCAATAAATGGCTTGTAGAGAAAGTAGCTAATTGGAAATATTTGAGACTGTGATTGATTCTCAAATAAAAATTCTAAAATACCTTTTCTTGCTTTTAGATAGTATTTAGTTGGCCTTGATAGTTGATGATATATGTATCTATACTATACCTATTTATTGAGTAATTATTTAAAGGCCGGACTGTGTTTGCATTGTATTTCTGTTTCTACTTTGTCGCTTATTGTTGATTTTTTTTTGTATTTTGGCCTTTTTGCTGCGGGCATTGACTGACTTCCTTCCTGGCTGCCAGGACGAAATGTGGTGGCGTGGGCGGGGAAAGGAGAAAGGAGGTGGTGGGTCCAAAGAACAAGAAGATGAAATCTCCTCTTTTTGGAGCCTGGTGGCTCGTCTTCTCGGTTGCGTGTTTCGCTTCTGTACGTTTTCTATTGCTGCTTCCTTCCGATATACCCTCTACTTTTTGCCCCAACCCCACTTCCGTGTTGTATTTGTATTTTTCTTTTTCCAACGTTTTTTCCTCTGTTTTTCGGCTTCTGCTTTTCTTTTGGACATTTTTTCTTTATTTCCCAGTGAATTTGGTTGTCTCGCACGTGAGCCGCATAATGAAATTTGCCACTCCCTATTGTCTCTGTGTGTGACGTCCTTGTGTGTGTGTGTGTGTGTTGGCCCAGCTGCTTAGCCTAATCTGATGTCGCCTTAAAGAGATGTCATTGCTGCCACCCCCACCAAATGCCCTCCAGTTCAGCCCCCCAAAATGATGCTCTCGACTTAATGCCAAGGAATCTCGGCCTGAATTGGCCTTGGTTTTCCATCTTGGTCCTGTTTGTTGGCTTATTTGCATGTGCTTTGCCCAAAAGGTGACAACACCAAATGTTCAATGTGCCAAAAAACAAGCTACCATCATCGACATTACCCAACAAACAGACACAAGAACTACATTGCAACACCAACACTTCGGACTATGGGATACCTAGTAGGAACATGCATTCGCTACAAAATCTTAAGAAATATTTACATAAACATGGGCCAGAAACTTTCGTAAAGACAATGTGGAATCTAAAATATTAAATAATAACTTACTAGTTTTTCAGTATTTTAAAACTCGGTTCATAATTTTACATTTTTTATAGATGAGGTGAAAATAAAAATGCATCAAGAGCTTGATTAGATAGAGTAAGATCAAAAGTATCGAACTTACACTTCTTGTAACTTTCTTCACTACTTATGGCAAAACGTACCCTGGAATTCGGAGACCAGGAAGTAAAACAGCACACACTCATAGAGCACAGGATGCTTGAGGTCCTGGCTGGACAAATGTCTGACCCCCCCCTCGTGGTCTCTTTTTACCAGCCCCCCAAAACCTATAGCTTCACACTTTTTGGCTGCGCTGTGCTTTCAAGTGGAAAATTACTTTCGCAGCTTTATGATGCGGAAATTATATGAAAATCATGGCGAATTTGCCTTACAAGGAAGGCCAGCGAGTCGAGTCCACAGCCACTGGGATCCGTGCTCCGTATTCCGTGTTTCGAGCTCTGAGTCCTGAGCTCGGAGTTCCGAGTTCCCACCGCCGGAATCCGCATCCCGTACATCTGCATATGTAGCACGGCTATCTGTGGGCCCGATCAAGGCGCCAGCCACGCCCACTGGCCCCAGCGCCCGTCGCATAATGAAACGAGCTTTTGCTTTTGCTTTCGACTTCGGCGACACCGTTGACAACTTGTGGTGTCCCTCATCCGCGGCTCATTTCTTCCCAAGCTCCAGTACACTGAGAAATCGTGTATAGCTAAGAGCAAACATTAGTAGTTTGTATTATAATTTATTTACGATATAGTTGTCAGCATATAAACTTATATAAATGCTTGATGATTCTTATATTTTTTATTTTTAACTAATTTAAAAGATTATAATTTCCTATAAGATTCATAGAAAGACCCAGATGATTCAGACATATTTCTTTTATCATCATTTTTCTAAGATGTCACGTTGATGGGCATTAAGTACGCAACTTATTTTTAGCCAGACTTTTAGTTTATTTTTATTTTATTCTAAAGTCTTGTATTGCTTTAACTCTTTTTTGAAAACCCTTCCTATAGTTGCGTTTCCCCCAGTGCACCCCACTCGCAATCCGGCGAGCAGCTGCTGACTGGCTCCATTTCCATTTGAATTAGCATAAAACGAGGCGGCTTACGTCTGTCTATTGGAGCGGGATTGGGGCGTGGCAAGGGGGTGAATCCGTATCCGAATCAAAGCCAAAAATGGTGTGGGTATGGGAATGGGAATGGGAATGGGGGCGGTGCTCCTGTGGCAGAGATATCATCTGTTGCTGCTGTCGTGGAACTGGAGCTTCTGTTCCGCAGCTTCGTTATCTTTTTAACTTGCTGGCTGTCGTTTATTTAACTGATAATGATTTGATGGTAGTTGGCTAAGCTTCCAACAAAGCCCGTTCCTCAACTCAGCCCACTTTCATTTCCATTTCCATTCCCATTTCCACGCCCATTTCCACGCCCATTCCTCGCCATTTACTGAGGTCAATTACACGCTTTCGATTAAATTTACCACGGATGCTCGATGTATTTGTTGTTGTGTTTGGTGTTGACAGGGAACAGCTGGAAGATCCTACCATTCCGCATCTCTATTGCTGTCCCGCTTCCGCGTCGACGTATCCTTGGCATGTAGGTGTGTGCGTGCTTTGTGACTGTGTGCGAGACTGTGTGTGTGTGTGTGTGGCACAAATAAAGTTGAATTATTATTTTTCTTTATGCTTCCAGGAGGCGGGGGCTGTGGTTGGGGGCGTGGTGCGTGCCTGGAATGCTCAAGTGTTGCCAAGTTGCATATTCGCTTCGTTATCCCATCGGGCTAACACCAACACTCTCACACACACACACACAGAAAGATATGTGCTTTAAAAGAGGGAATACTGAAATACCATATCGGCGAATTCTCCAGCACATTCTTGAATATCTTTACCACTTAGAAAACGCATGCCGGCATGTCTAAAATATGCTAAATAATATTATGCTTTCAGTTTTCATGGCTCTGTGCATTTACCCAAGCTTAAAGGTATATGTTTCGTCTTTCATTTATCAGAATTATACCAGCTAGTCCAGCAGTTACTTGAAATATACTTTAAGGAATAATTAAAAGCAACTTTAATGAAATACGCCCAGAAAGGATGGTTCTCCATTTTTAAAGTATTGCTCTGCATATATGTATACAGTAAAAACTTTGGCGTGTTTATGTGCGAAATCTGAGTTGATTTTAATGGGATTCCCTCGGTTTTAAATTTTCCTGAATTTCGGTGGGTTTTATTGCTCCACCCCACCACGCGTGTTTTTTGACGATAATTGTGTACATTTAGTTAACATTAAAGTACACGTACTTTTGCTTATTTTTGCCATTTAGGCTTTTCTTCTTGTGCGGTACGTAAAAGTTTATTACCGTAAAGAGTAAGCGAATTTTGCGTGAATGCCAAATTTGATGCATGTAAATATTTACCCTTACATGTGTGCGATGTGCATATGAAACAGAAAAAATGGAACGTACTCCTAATAAAAGGACTTTTTGTAAATAGCCGCATCTAACTTATTTAAACCTGTACCCGCATATTCGTTTAATTAATTAAAAAATTGATGCCTCCCACTACTTTTTGATATGTACTTCGCTTACAATAATAGTGCGTTTAAATTAAATGTTGTATTTTTTTGAATATTGTTAAATGTGGATGGGCGTAATTATATTTGTTATACCAGTATTAGCTAACATTCATGAAATGAAGTGATTCTCAATCAAAGGACGTTCTTTAAACCAACATATCAGTGAAGTACTTGATAACTTCGTTGTAAATCTGGGATTCCGGGGCCATAAGAACCACGTCGAAGTCGCAGTTCAGCTCGATGCACATCAGGGGTTCTACTGATTTCGACTTCAAGGCAGTGATTGAGGTTTTTATCTTCAAGGCACTTAGGAGGCTCGAAGCTTTTTGCCGGGAGTTCTTGTAGCCATCTGCATGGATAACCTTAAAAGCAGCTTCCTTAAGGAGTGGATCAAAGTTCTTGAAGTAGTTGTGGCGATCGGAAATGCGGATACCCCTAAGATCCACGCGGCCAGGACCTTGAAGCTTTCTGAAGTCTCCCAATTTCTCAAATGCGTCGGCCATATCAAAAACTTCAGATCGAATTTTGGGGCGTCTGGAGTGCCAAATTGTTCCACAATTTCGATGAAGGGCTGTGGCAGCTTGTTGTTTATGCAGGGGCTACTGCTTCCTGCTATCGGCATCGCATTTACCCGATAGTTTAGGCCTGCATCCCTCATAAGACGTGGGGTTTTAAGCCAAAACATGCCATTTTTGAAACATGTTGGCTAAGTTTATTTCAAAAGAACAAGCCATCGTCCATTGAGAGTGGTTTTCTGCATCTAATTTCCTATATTCTGACTGGGTTCAGTCAGTAAGCCTTTCCCTGAGACTCATTTCCATAAAATAAATCATAAATTGGTGCCAAAACTCGATAGTTGGCAATGAGCGAACCGCTCTCGGGTCCCTGGCTGCGTTTTGTTTACAATGGCCTGTTGCTGGCCTCGGCTGTCTGTTCCGGCCGGAAAATGCTGCCGGAGGAGCACCCCTTCGCCATGGCAGCTTGTGTTGTGGTCGGATTCTCGGCGGTTTTCGGACTGCTCCGGGCCATCTTCGCCAGCGGAGAGCCGGAGGAGTGCCGGAAGCTGAGGGACATAACGAGCGGAGTCCTGGAACTGGCGCCTTTGCCCCTGGCCAATATGGATCTCTATGTGCGGTCCACCGGGCTGAGTCCCATTGCCTTGGGACACGCTCTTTTTGTGCTTCCCCTGGTTTGCGATCTGCGCTGCAGCTTGGCGAAAGATCGGCGAGATTGTGCCCTTAGCGACGGCTTGCGGAATCTTACGGTACTGGGCAACATTGTGTCCCTCGGTTTTCTGGCCTATGTGGAACGGAATTTCCTCTATCTGCGAATGGTGCTGGTCATGATTGTGGTCAAGTATGGCGTGGTGCTGGTGGACAGCATCAAGGAGGACGCCGGCGAGGATCTGCAGGTGTGCGGCACCGCACTGTTTGTGCACCTGCTCGGCAAGGCCGTGGAGTCCTCCAGCTCCTCCACCTGACCAGCTCCTTGGGTTCCCCTATTCCTAACCGCGCTCCGCTTCGAGGGTTTCGTTGTACCGCTTAATTTTCCATGAATCGAGTTTTGACCCGTATTAAATTTCATTTCACCCGCCTTCAATTGCCGTGTTCATGTTTGCTCATGTTTTTGTAATTGCTCAAGCACCTTGTGCTCTTACACTGAAGAATATCGCTTAGTTGGCTAAACTTGCAGGAAATGCGAAGCGAAGCGCAGCGCTTGAGAATGCATACAAATAAGCGGAAAAGCCTGATCCTATTACTGGGTTTCTTCGAGTGCACATGGGGAGCCGACTTCTACGGCTTCCCTGGTGTGTCACCCACACATTATAATGATATATCGGCGATTACAAATGCGCAATAAGTGCCTCCAGCCAGTCGCTCCAAGCAGTTGCTGATTCATCGCTCGAAATCGTTCAAATGCTTACCCCAATGGTTTCTGTCTTTCAGCGGGGGGCTTATCAATTGATTTGGTCTGGATAACAAGGCAATCGCACTCTTTGGATACGGATACAGTATCTGCCGATAAGTACTTGTGGCGGGTACCTTAACTCGTACTTTCCGCCGGCTGAAAAGGTTGGGTGAAGCCGAATGGAGGGCTTTTGTGGATGAGCAAGCGACTACAATAATTGCGAATGATGAATTAAGGAAGCTAATTTAGCAAGGATATTTATAAGACAGCTTTACTGGGGACACTTCTATTCATGCTTCCCCGATAAATGATTTATAAAAGTTTTAAATTTAAGTTTGTATTTATTTATTACAGTACCCATCGATTTAGAACAGAACATTCTCCTGTCAATTTAGTTTATAGAGAATTGTTAAATTTCACATGACAAGTGTACATTATAAAATCTATTTTCCACTTCTGATCAACTCTGAATGGAAAACCGGTGATGACATTTATCAATGGTTTTCCGCGTGTGTTTCTTTTTTGTCGCTTTTATTATTTGTTCCTCGCTTGTCACCAATATATTTTATGTATTTTCGCGTTGCTGTCAAATGACAAACTCTAATTGCAAGTGGGACGAATTTTAATGAGTGTACGCACAAACATATATGACGGTACAGGGTGTGACAAGTGTGTAAGTTGTTTGCGAACTAATTAGCTAAATATCTCTCCTTAAAATATGTACAAATATAATACAAATATCAAACCATAGTGACAAATTGTAGGGCAAAATCCAAATGCATTCTTATAAATAAAAAATGTTCTTACCTTCTGTACCCTGCAGTATTATTTGTGAAAAATTAATTACTTATTACCAAATCTGTTTGAGCTGAGACTGCATCCTGCCAAGCCGAACTACGAATCTGAAATGCGCTGTATTTGCATATACGAATTTTTATAAATTTTTCCGCTTCCCAACTATGACTATTTTCCGCTTTCCGCCCACAAAAACGCCCATCGTGATTCCAGGGCAGCGTTTTGCTTTATTCAACTTGACAAGTGAAGTGAGTGTGAATATTTTTTTAGGTCACAACAACAGCAGCAACAAGAACAGGACCAGAACTCCATCAGGAAACTCCAGCTCCAGCTCCAACTCCGAGTCCTGGACTCTGGAAACTCTTGCTACCTGGCGAAATAAATAAACCGAGAGGTAAAAAATAAGGGGCCAAATGCAAAAGAAGAAAAACACACAGGAAAAATACAAGAAATGGTTCGAATCCTTTTCCATCCTGTTCGGAATTGGGTAAAGGAGATGGCGCGGGGGCGGTGGACGGTGGGAAATTGCAGTCAACATTTATTTCCGCAGTATGATGGAAAAATTCGAAAATAATTTGCGAGCCATAATTAAAAGGCGACAGCAGAAAAACTCGGGGAAATATGGGGAAAAGTTGAAGCGAAAAGCAGAAAAAGGTGATGGAATAGTGGGTTAGTGGGGTTTGGGTGGGGTATGCGATAAAGGGGAGGAGCCAGCGTTGGGGTAAACGGAAAGTCAGTCCCTCAATGTTCTCAATCCGCTGGGGTCATAAACAATTCCAGCATAGACGAGTTTTCGATTTTCGCCTCAATTGGCAACATATGGTGAACAGACTCCCTGCGAACAGCCAAAGGATTCCGCAGTTACCCGTTCCTATGATTTTCTTTCCACAATGTATCCACACCTAAAGAAAAACCAAGCAGTTTCGTTTAAAGAAGTCTGAAGTTAGAAAGTTTCTTCTCCTATAAACCAAAAATGCTTTTGATGAAATGGGCAAGAATAATTTGTAGCGCAGTTAATTTTTAAGTTATAAACAATAAATGTATTTATTTTTAGAAATTTCTTAGATATAAGGTTGTATTAGTATTTTTCCACACTGCATTATTCCAGGGACGATTTCATTATGAAGTGTTTTAGTGGCATAACAAATAAGAAAAAATCATTCGAGAAATCGCCAAATAGCCTGGGACTTCAAGCTTAATAACTTTTTGAATAGTGTAGGCTGTGGGCGGGGCATCATTTGCATTTGTGACTGCGAATTGCGAATGCGAAAATTTAAAGTTTTCCCGATAAGAGGGTTGTAAAAGTACAAAAAGCGGGAAGCCTTGGAGTTGCTGCTGCAAAAAATGGCGACGTTTGCGAGGAAAGCGACATGAAAAGGGCGGCAGACAAAGGACGAAGACGCAGGCAGCAAACAAGAAAAATCGCTGCCGGCTTCTTGGACGGGGAAAACTCGACTGGGGGCGGGGGTGATGGGAAAAGTGAAGGATGTAAATGGGGGGCGGGGCAGAACTTTACTTATACGACTTTTTCGCATTGTAGAACGCGCGGCATTTGCCAGAAGGTGCCAACACATTTTATTGTTGTACCCTAAGCGATGAGGGTATCTTGGAAGTTGTGGAACAATAATTCGATGGAACATTCTTTATAAGCATGTTTATGTGTTCTAGAATTTCATAACAAAAAGATATCTAAAAGTTAGCCTGCCTCTAGACCATTTTCTCGTCCTATTCATTTGGCTCTTTTCTTAATATTTTAAGTTTTTAATTTTTAATTTCAAAATTAAAACTAGCATGTTTTTGGAAGTCTATGCTCTTCAAAAATAATTTGTTTGTTCTTTTGCAAAAGAGTCCTATTCGGAATGCAAACAATTTTGAAGCAATTCTATACGCTAAGGGTTCAATTTTATTTATCTGTATTGAGGGTTCTTCAGTCAACTACAAAAGATTGCAGTATTTATCGAGGAGAGTGCAAACACATTTGCCTGACTTTTCCACATACTTACCCCTCAAAAGGATGCTCTATTCAGCCTTTCCCCTTTCAGCAGGCAGGGTATACAAACGTCACTTCTGCAAAGTCCTGCTCTCCTTTTCGTGTTTTATTGTTCGACGAATCGCCGCCCCGCACGTTTCCATCATCTGTTTTTGGGGCAAGGCGCGGGGGTGGCACGTTTAGATCTACGACACACATTGGATGGGTGTATCGCACATGTCTCTATCTATAAAACGTCAACTTTATTTGCCCGACAACTGAGGCAAACAACGTTCCAGCCAAATGGCAGGAACTGTGCGAGTACAGACCATGGTCCTCCATAGACCGGCTTGAACTCCATGGAGCATCCCCCGCATTTCGCATTCACGTGTCCCACCCAGTTAGCAATAAAACCAGCTGTCAATTTGTTTATATTATAAAAAATAATTAGTCTGTATTCAGCGCCGAAGTCGACGACTCCATCATAGATGTATGTTTGAATGTATCGTATATGTACGTAGGTTGGATTTTCCAGGTTGCACATTGCAATTTGGGTTGGGTTGAAAGAATTTCGGTTGTGAGTGGGGGCGTTTTTAGGCTTTTGGGCTTTTGGGCTTTTGGTGATTATGTTTTTAATTTAAAGCATACGAGAGCGGTTTTCGTGGGTGATTAACTACGCTTGATAAGTGGAATAATAATTGTACGAAATATGTATGGATAATGCAATATAATTAGTGTGTTTGCATGGCTTAGACATTTGCTTTGTTTATATGCTGATGACGCTGACTAAAAAGGCAATGAAGGAATGTCGATAATTATAATTATAGGTTGATGATCGAATCGAAACGAACAAAATGCGGCACAAAATTTTAGCTATTCCCCAGATGGCACACAATTCGTTGCATACCTCCGGGCGTCGTTCATTTTGCTTGCATCATTATGTTTTGTATAATATGTTTGTTACGTTATTTATATAGAATATGCAATAGGTTTCCTTAAAATCATCCATCGACTCGCCGTCCTTATAGTATATGTATCTCTGATAAATATATAATTTATTTATTTTTTGTTGAATTTCCATATGCTTTCGTTTGGTTTCACTTCACTTCATTTCGTTTTGTTCGTTTTTCGTTTTTCGTTTTGTAACATAGTTTATTTAGGCAAAAATGGCAACAAAATTGTATGTTTAACATTTGTCTACTGTGCAAAAACCGTTTCGCTTTATAGTCATTGGTTCTTGTCGCTCTTTTCATGATTAGTAGTAGATGTGTATAACTTTAGCTAACTAACAATTAATTTAAACATTTTGTAACTTATAATTGGCAATAAATCGTTTGAATAAGCAAACATTCAACATTTAGCATACTTGATCTTAAATCGACTGCCCGAACAGATAACCCAAACTAAACAATAAATAGCTATATGATATATGTATGTATATTGAGTGTGTATATAAATACGTTTGCGTGTATATATAGTGTATGTATATAGATGTATCTCTGCATTGTAAAGTCATAGTGATTGTAGCCTGATTATGTTAATAATATATTTACGTTCAATATTTATAGATACAATAGAGATAGTCGAGACTTCTTGTTCGCACTGTGATCCTTAGCCTCCAAATGTATCTCGACTATCCGGCATTATGCTAGCTGGCAACTTAAGATATTTAAAGCCCCGTTTGAACTTATGCGTGTATTTAGTGAGTGAGTGAGTGATTGATTCGATTGATTTATAGCGTATTCAGTGGGTCGGGTTGGTGTAAGACAGAAACAGCTCAAAAATGTAAAATTGTTAAAAGGTTGATATTTTATAGATATGGTTTTGCCAAGAGTCTGTGGTGCTTGTGTAAAATGAAATACAGATGGGTCCAAGATATGTGTACTTTACTTTATCGCAAAACCGCTGATTAGTTGCATGTGTCCTACCAACGTACTTCATAATTTCACTTAAAGGAGCTTTAAACTGTCTTACACCCGCCGCGAAGTCCACTGATCTTATTATGAGTTATTTAGGTAATTGGGTTAGGTATTTAGTTATTAGATTACTTTAAAATTGAATGATTTCTTTTCCACTGGTTCGTTTCTCCGCGTGGTATGTTTGTTTTGGTTTTTGTGTTTGGTTTTTGATGGTGGCAGCCGTCGCCTAGTAAAAGTTAATCAGTCGCTATCAAAGATCCTCTATCCTTAAACCTGAATCTAGTCGTGTTTTCCTAAAACTGTATGATATTTTCCTTTTTGGTTTGCGTTTGCTTGTTTGTGTTTGGCCATTTTGAATGCTGGACTAGCTCGGTTTTTTGCGTGGTTTTTGGTGGGCGTTTTGGACTTGGATGCGGTGTCTTGTTGCTGTTTAAAAATCGCTGATCTCACCCTCAGTCTCTGGATAAGTGCAGGAAAAGGGGGTCAAGAGCCAGTTGCAGAGTCCTTTATTATTGCCAGCCTGATCCTGTCGATGTCGCTTCTTGTGGCACTGCCTCTGGTAATTTCCAATGCCCGCCGATGTGACTGCTCCCGTTCCTGAGACGGTGATGCGATGCCGCTGGCCCTTGGACATGCCGGACGCGAAGCTACTCTCATCCGAATCCCTCACGGTGGCCACACTGTGATAGCCACTCTCCGCCCTTCGGGATATGCCCGAATGCTTGGAAGTCCTCGGAGTGGAGTTGGAGTCATGGCCACTGTCGTAGGCCTCGGAGCTGGTATTCAGGGGCAGCAGGGGAAGTCGCGATTGGGCAGCCAGGGGCAGGATATTCGTGATCTCGTTCAGCTTGTGCTGTGCATCCTCCAGAGAATTTCGCTTGCCCACCGCTGCCGCCATGGATTTCTCATCCAACTCGCAAATATCATCGTGCTGCGGGGTGAATCTCTTCTCTCCCTTCTGCAGATTGGGATCGGAGGCTCCGTCTGGCTGGCGGAGCAGAGCATAATCATCCATCCCTGCTATCTCCATGATGCCGTTCAAGCTGGGTAGTGACCCTTGACTTGGACTGTGCGACGGTTGCTTTGGCGGACTGGGGGTCAATCTGTAGGCTGGTTCGCTGCAAACGCTACTCTGGCCAACATTGAAGTGATATACGGGCTCGCTGAACACACTTCCAATATCGGTCCGGAAAAGGGCGGCGGAGGGCGTGACCTCGGCCATGGCCAGTTGGGAGGTGAAGATCTCATGCAGGCGAGCCAGCTGATCAAACTGTTGTCTACGAAAGATGAAATATGCAATGGACACACAAATGGTACGATTAAAAAGCTTATCCTTAAGGACGGAAACTTTCGATGAGTTAGGAGTTTTTAACTTAATTTCCAGAAGTATTTCAACTCACCTTGCTCTTTCGCCGCACTCGCTGAAGGACTCACAGGCCATGTTGAAGCTGGACACGAAGGATATATTGTCGCAGTGACTCAAAGCTGATAGAGGATGCGCGCTGGGATCGTGATCCCGATCTCTGGACATGGTCCTGGCAATCTCTTCCTCCGTGACTTGCAGACCACAATCAATGCTCCGCTGAGATGGATGATGCGAGGATGACGCTCGACTGGCCACCAGTTCAGCCTCATGAAGCTGTTCCCTGGACACATGCCGCGAGAGCATCCTATGCAGGTTATCCTGCGATATGTCCCTGGAGCCGAGGGGATCATCCAATAATGGAAGAGCAGGGGGAACCTCTGAGGGGCCGCTGTCTTCGTCCTCGTCGCCATCCGGTGGAGCAGGATCCAGGAGGGGTAAGCTCTCGAAGCACGGCTGATTGAGATCCAAAGAGGGTTCCGGATTGAAAGCAGGTCTGTCTGGTAAGTCCAGGGATTTCTGCTTCAACTGCGAGAGTTTCCAGTGCAAGGCAGTGGGGGAGTTACTGGCGGACACTGTACTTTGGAAGACTTGCGTTGTCTGATTCTCCACCCACTGTCGAATCATGGTCTTCTTGTGGGCATCCATAAACCCATAGCCCTGCGTCTGACTTCCGCCGGCTGCTGGAAGATTGCCGGCTGTCAAGGATCTGCAGGACTGCGACTTTGGACCATCCACCCAGGTTTCGCACTGCTTCACATGATTAACCTCCCTCATTAGATGCCGAGCTTCCGCCACCTTGGCCCTGGACACTCGGGGTCCATCGATCCACTGCTCCTCCGTTATTTTCCTCATTCCCGCTTCCAGCTGTTCGAGAGCTGCTCCCGGATGGGCTCTTCGCATGGGCGATCCCTTCGGCGAGGGCACCATCGAACCCTTGGACACCATGTGCCGTGGTATCGGTATAGGCGATCCCATGGCCTGCATTTGTGGTTGCTCGTGGGGAATCGTTGGGGAGGAGCAGGCTCCCGCTCCCGCCTGGCGCTTCAAGCTGCCCGTGTGGCTTCCAGGAAGCTTTTTGGCTGAAATCGGAAAGAAAGTGAAATTTGAAATACTGTAAGTGAAATACTATAGAAATAGAAAATATTTTTTGAAAACTGTGAAATTAACTTTTAAGCAATAGAAGTGTTTTACCTTTTTCCGCTGCCATGGCTTTTTTCATCATCATGGGACTGTTGGAAGCTGACTTCGAGGGGGGTTTCTCCAGCCCACTCCCCTTGAGGGCTTTACTCATCACCCCGCGATTATCCCCCGCAGTCAGCGATGGCAGATATACGGGCGGATGTTCCCCATCCGTGGCGTCGTCATTGGGTCCCATATAGATGACAGTGTCGGCAGAGATTTCCGAGCTCGAGGGATCTGCACCCGATCCCGCCGAGGAGCCGTTGCCGCCGAGTCCTTGGGCCAAGCCCACAGCCAGGGGCATGGGAACTCGATGTTTCCTGCGACGCAGCCGATGAATTCTGGATGCGATTTGAATGGTGGAGAGGGCATCCTGGTAGCTCTGCTCCGGTCGCACATGGGCCACGATGGCCACATGGCAGGTGATGGGGGCCAGGCAGTCCTTAAGCAGCGGGGTCAGCGGGTGGTCCTTGTGTGGGGGATGCCTCTGGCCGGATAGTATCGCCAGCAGTATGTTCCCGATCCCCGACAGCGGCAGTCCCCCGCTGCGATTCGCACACCCGCCCAGGTCGATGATATGTAAACGGCTGCGACCGCCAGCGACTGCACAGAGAGAAAATATTGACAGCATTTGCTCTCATCAATTCAAAGTTTTATCTTTATCTCTTTATAATAGTTTCATAGTAAAATTCAATTTTCTTTTTGAAGCCAAACTGTAAAGTCATATGTGCACAATTGATATTTTGCTCCATTTTTCTCTGTGTTTGAATAAAACACAAGTGGGTGGGAGTGGGTTTAAATGGGGGTGGCGTTGGGTGTTGGAGTGGAGGAAATGCGACACTTTAATGGCGCTGCCGTCTAGTGGTAGTGAAGCATTTAGCGGGCCACTTGAGTGGCAGCAGCAACAAAAGTGGCAGCAACAATAGCAATAACAGGAAAAAGTGAGCACTTCGGAAGCCGAAGAATGAAATACCCTGGGTCATCAGAAAAAGTTTTAAAAACCATGCTGCACTTCCATGTGTGCCCATTTTCAGACAACATATGAAGAAACACTGTAGTTAATCTATAAGATTCTGGCCAATAAATCCTCAATATGAAAACACTGTTCAATGAAATTTAAAAAAGGAAAATGAAGATACAATTTCCTGCATTTTCCCCCAGAAGATAGATAATTTAAGTTATGGTAGCTGCACTGCATCTACGCCATACATTGTAGTTGTTGCCATATTTTATGACTTTTACAAGCTTTACTGCTCCGGAGTTTGCAGGGCACGACAACAACATTGTGTCGGACACTTACCACCTCCCTTGCGGGACAGGCTGTACTGGTAGACGTGCAGCGTGAAGATGAGGGCGGACTCCAGGGGGGCAGCACATCCAGAACTCCCAGATGCCGTGGAACCGGAACTTTTTAAGCGTCCGGCGAGCGCAGAGTCGAGGAAAAGGGCCGCACGCTCGGCGGTGGGTGCACGTAGTTCCGTTGGACCGCCAAGGAAGTCGTCACGCAAATAAATCCCCGGGGAGTCGTCAGATTCTGTGTAACCGTAGTGGGAGCCGGAGTTCCAGTATTGAGACCGAAAAAGAAGAAGCGGGGAGTGAATGAAAAGGGCATTAGGTTTTATGTGGGAATAAACGCCGTATTCTACGGGGATAAGGAGGGGGCGCTGTTCCGTTGATGATAAGAAGGTGGGGTTGGTGTCGGAACTGCTGCCCAGGTTAAGTTTATTCAAATTGGGCCAGTTACGACCCCGAGCCCGACCCGCCCCAGTCATCATCATCATTGTTTGGCCCAGGGGCAACATTACGCCACGCCCCCTGGACGCGCCCACAGCGGAGCCATTTATTCTGCCGGCGATTCTGCCCGCTGGCATCTAACAGGTGGACCACTTGCCAGCACTAACTGCCAAAATTAAAGGAAAAGGCCAAGTTAAGCAAAGATCGGCTAAGGAGGGTAACTAGAAGCAAATAATATTAGCTTTTCTGTGTACTCGCTGGCCTTGGTTAATTGAGCCAACTGTTCATGTCGATTAGCTAACTTTAATATTATATGCACATGGCTTGATTATGTTCCTTGAAGAAGTTAATTATTTTGAAATAAAATATAAAGAGTTTAAGCAAGCATATAAAATCAAATTTATGCTTCTGATGATCATACAAATTCCTTCTTAAGCTTAAGGCTAACATTATTGTTTATTTTACAGCCTGTTTGTGTGGCTATAAAGGTATTTTGAAGTGCAGTAAAGTTATAAATTCAACGCCAAGCTAAATAAATAAAGACAATTATTTAGTGCAAAGGAAGGAATGCGTTCAGCTTATAATAAGTAGTGGCACATTTAGTAGCTGACCTGGATCCCCGATCCTGGCCAGAGGCCCCTCCTGTCTGCCATATGCTTACCGGCTGCATGCGAGATGAGCAAGTCCTGCGAGAGGGCATCCGGCTTGGTGGCACTGACGCCCACGGCACTGACCCGCACCGAGAAGCGCGCTCCGCTCTTCTGGCGCCTCTCCTGGATGCCCTTGTACAGCCAGGCGATGGCGCAGGGGGCTGCTCCCAGGGAACACGTCCCCCCACTGCCACTCCCACTGCCACTCCCACTCCCACTGCCACCACCACCGCCCAGCTCCCCCAACACCGTTTGGGCCTGGCCGGTGGCAGGATATCCCATGGCCAGCAGGCAGCCATCGGAGCCTTCGAGCACGGCGGGTATCACTTCGCTCAGCGCCGATGCACACACATCCGACTGGAATATACGATGCACAGAGAGAAAATGTTAGAACATTGGCGTCTTTTGCAAACTTAACTTAAACTATAATACACGTATAAATGAGAGTTGATAATAATGATGGGTTCCCTTTCAACAGGTAAATAAATTAAATAGAGGGGATTTCCAATTCCGTTTCATAAAATATTTGCAGAACGTCAATGGTTTTTCTTGCAGTGTACAGAAAACGAATAGGTGTGGAGTGGAGGTCAGTGGGTGGCGGCTAACAAGGCATACTAATGGGCTCTCTTTAATGGCTGGAATTGGGTTCGATTGCGGGGTTAATTCGATTGCTGATTAGATCCGATGGGGCAGGACAATACGCGTATGTGTTAATTCTATTGGGGGTATTTCTTTCGTTGGGTCTGAGGGATTGCCTTATGAGTGATTGCACTTCGAGGGTCATAAATCTTGCAAAGGAACTTTGCTTGCTATGAATTATGAAGATTGATTGTGGTATTTTGTGGTGTCTTGTTATTCTCTGGAATTACTAACACCTCTTTTGTAATCTTTCAACAAGTTAAATGGCAATAGCTTCGAGACAAAATGGGGACAGTTTTTGTTTGCGCAAAATATTCATATAACGCGCAGATGTGCGGCATTGTTCTTATTCACAAAAGGATTCACACGGTCAATTTAACTTTTGTAATTGCAACTCAATATTTACGTTAGGGAAATTTTTCTGAAGGCAAATAACATCGCGAGAAGTCTGGAAAGTTTTGTTGATTTTAAAAGGAAAGTACACTAGCAAAGTGTTAGCTCTCAGTTGGCGGAAGTTTTGTAGTTTTATGTACATAATGAATGGTTTTATTGTCAATACTGTATTTACCGTTATATTAAGTTCTTGTTTGTTTATCAAGAATTAAGAGCTGTTAATATGGTTTATTTGCCATTTAAATGATACTTTGTGTCAACAGTAACCAATCAAATATTTAGTTTACTTGGTAACGGTTGCCCTTGTTTAACTTGCAACAAAATGTCCTATTTACCTCTAACTAAGAGTGTCCTTATGAATTTACTTATAATAATAATGATTCTTACAATAAAATAAGACCAAATATTTTTTAAACGATTTTTAAAATATTTAAACTTTTTTTTGTTTATAATAATTATGTATCGAAATCTTATTGGAAGTTTAATGTGAAAACTTCTTTTATATCTATGAACTGGTTGTTGTTTGTAGATTTTATTATATATTCTGTGCATCTGAATAAAAAGAGCTCAAAGCTCATAATCTCACCAGGACGAAACTCACCTGCTTATCCTCCCCGGTGAAGAGGTTATCGAATGCAAACATTTTGGGGGCGGCCACCATGGGTGCCCGTTCCTGGGCAGCTTGGGGCGGCGGACACGCGGTTTTTGGATCGGTGAGCGTGACCTGTCGCTTCTTCTTGTCCAGGGCCATAAAGTCCGGCTCAGTTCCGCCGGAGTTCCTGTCCCGGTCCGCCACCCGCAGCATGACCTTCACCTTGCCCACTCCGTAGCACTCCCGGCTACTCAGGCGTCGGATGAGGGTCGGCGGCATCGGCGGCGGGGCCCGCTGCAGTGCACCACAGAAGCCACCGTTGCGGGACATGTTCGACGTACTGGTGGCCATGGTTCCTTGACTATTGGTCGCCACAGTTGGCGGTGGAAGTTTATTGCTGGAAGCACTTGCGTTTCCTTTTGGAGGGGTGGGAACGAATAAAATTGGGAGTTAATAAGAGGCCCAAATCCTGGCTTTTGTTTTATGTCGGGGATCTTAAAATGCAATCGTCACTCCCCATAAACTTTGTTTGTTTTCGGGGATTTTATGGTTCCTTAAATAGTTGCCGGGCCTGTCATAAATTGCGATTTCGGTTCGGGCCGATGGGCATAAGTTATTTGGCCCTGCCGCCGAGAAGGGTCCTTGCCCTTCGGTAATGGCCATAACACTTTCGCTTTATGGTTATGGGCCATCTGTTTATTGGGCATATGCTTCACTGTACTATCGTCACTATCACGCTCGCACTGTCACTGTCACTAAGCTCGTGTTTTATTCACTTGTAGCATCTTGTGCATAAAATCAAATTTATGTTGAATTTGCTTGGGCTTTTATGGTGGGAAATTATGCGCTTCGTTGTCTTTCTAGTGTTCTTTTGGGACAGTCGTATTTCACATCAGTTTAATTCTATTTGAAAAGTTTATGTACACGCTTTTAAGTTCCTTTTGGCTATTAAAAGTTTTAAGCCCAGACTTTTAACAATTTTCGGTTTTTGTTGGTGTTATAAAGTGCTCGGAGGTTTTGCATTCTATTACCTAGAACAGTAGGACTTTATTTAATAACTTTCTATGACTACTGTTAGAATCGGTTATATATTTAAATGCACTTTTCTTTGTAATAACTTAAATTCAAATTTTGTATTTGTAGTCACTATATTTCTAGTCAATGTGGAAAAAACGAATATTTCCTGCAAAACATTATCTGCTTTCTTTTTCATACTTATTTTCTTTATTCTTGAGTTTAATTGAGTTATTATTCAGTACTCTACGGAATCGTCTTAACGTCTTTAAAATGTTCCTTGGGGATGGGCTGTCTTAGGCGTGTCACTCGAACTTAGATGTGCGTTTCCCCTCGGAATGGCATGCTCTTGGGGCATGCCTCTTATCAAGCTTGTTATGTTTTATATCACTGAAATTATTAACTTTACTTGTTGTGCTCAACTTTACTTTTGAGATATTCATGCAAATTCCACTGGATTTCTTCCTTTTTCAAGTCAGTACTTGTCAGGCGCGAGCCGTGACATTTCTTCAATGCCTTCATTATTATTTCAATTTGACTGGGGAAACGTGACGTTTTTGCAACGTCTTTCATTAATATTGTCCCCCGATTCCTATCCCCAGTCCTATTTCCCCATCCCATCCCATCCACGCTGGCCTCTTCTGTATTGCCATTCCATTGCCATTCCCTTTGAATGACAGGCAACAACTTCGGGTCGGTTCAACTTCATTTTTCAGGCTACGCGCACCTGCCAACTGGAGGGAACTTCTTCGGTGGCCTTTCCATTCTTTTATATGGGTTTGTCCCTTATTTTTTGCCTGCCCGGTTTCAGTTCGCTTTTTATTGGAGGACTGGCGTCGTCCACCTTTTGAGTTTTAGCTTTGGCTTTTCACACAAATCGATTGGCAATGCCTTCTAATTGTACACGACGCACAATAGGGGAGTCTAGCTGAAGTCAGGGGTTAAGGGTCCTGCGGGGTAGGGGGGTTTAAGGGATTTCCCTTTTGGCACAACACACACAAACACACTAGCACGCAAACACACACGAAACAGGAACAAACACAAACCCTTTTTTTATGACTGGCAATTTCTCGCTGTTGATTTCATCTTTGGCTCAAGTCCGTCGACTTTCCGAATTGCCTTGATTTCCTCGCACATGATTTATACTTTATCCAACACACTGCGATTTTCCCCGATTCTCAGCGAGCTTTGTTGTTCTTCTTTTGTGTTGGCTTGTCAGCGAATAAAACCCGCCAGGCGCGAAAGCCAAACGCGTGCCGATTGCGTTGGCATTACAATGGCAACTGAAGTCGGGTTTTTGGTTTTGGTTTCGGTTTCGGTTTTGGTCTTCGGAGTGGGCCTGAATTTCCCAAGAGTTTTCCGCCTCTCATTGGCGCAGGCGTGCCAGAAGAAAGAGCGAGTCGCGTATGGTAACGCCACATTTCTGACCCCAAGGGTGGTCGGACTTTCACTCTTTCACTCTCTCTCTTTCGGAAAATCTCTTTCCGTCGGCCAGCGACAGCGGCTTTGAGGCTCAGGTAAACAAAATCAGCGAGGCTAAAACAAAAGGAACAGCGTAAATGATGTTTATATTGTAGACGTCAAAATGCTCACTGGCCAGGAACATCAAAATAGAGTGATACCTCGTCTTTACTAGAAAATGTTCATGGTCAGGCGATTTTTACACTATTAGTTATTACTTCATGATCTAAATACAATAATGTAACATACAGTTTACCTTCTATTAACTATAAAAACATAAGGGCAAGATGTTTTACTTTTTTCATTTTTAAATGGATTGTAAAAACGTTTCAAAAGTGTAGCGCCACTGTTAAATATTTTTAAGCACGATTAACTTTTGAATCAGTGTTTAGCTTTTTAGATTTCAAATACCTGTTCATACATTTTAAAATGGTTTAATATTGCATCGTAATATTGTTCCTAGTAAACTCGTTGTATAACCAATAATAAGGTTATATTACAGGCGCTTGCACACAAAGATCGAAATCCATAGCTTTTACCGCCTCTGCGATGCAATGGTACAAATACAATATACCTTTTTTCTGCGTGAGTACCTGGAATAAAAGGAATACGAACACGGTGATAGTTGAGCTGCTGGAGCGTCACTTAAGTGCCGCTTGGAGTTTCTGCTGATGGAGGGGGCTTTTCCAGGGGGCGGAGTGGGCGTGGGGTGATGATGGGGCTTTTCGTGGCGGGGCCAAATGCAAACGATGTGTTTTTAAGTTCGCTTACATTTGGCAGGCTCGTGAAGGAGCTGTTGAGTGTGTGTTCGGGTTTAAAAGCATGTGTGCACGGGAAAGGATGGGGTTTGTCCGGATTTACCTTTACCTTTATTTTACATTTTTACGTATTTTTTACCAAGTGGACAACGGTAACGGCTCAATTAAAGTGGACCTGGCTGATTGTTATTAAGGTGGCTGCAGTAAAACTGCTGTAATCCAATCCGCTTTAAGGCGTTTCGCTACTAATTATCATAAAACTTGAGGGAAATTCCGCGGAAATGGTTTCTCCGCATCGAGCAAATCAAATTTTATGCAATCCAAGCGCCAAAGAAAATAAAACGCAAACAAATAAACGAAACAAAGCTCAAGTTTGGTGCATGGAGATGAACAGTTTGAGGGGCACTTCCGTACAGCTTGCGGCGCCATCTGGCGGGCGAGCAAAAGGTGGCAGCGCCAAAGGCGTTACAGTTTGAATGTGGAGAGCTTAACTTGCATTAAAGATACGAATACGTTAACGTAGATTTAACTTGAGAGTACAAAAAATATTTATATAAACTACAAATGTGCTGCAAAGATTATTATTTTCTGGTTAAATTATTTAATGTATATAATTTATTTACGATAAAACGTTAAAGTAGGTTTAACTTGAGAGTGCAACAAATATTTTTATAAACTAAAAATGTGCTTCCACGAATTATTTACGATAAATGTTTGCTTTAAATTTGATAAATAATTTGCTTTTTTTCACAAACGACTTCTGGATTTCCATACCAAGTAGTATAATTAGAGAACAAACTAAAGTTTTTATTTTTATCGTAAGCTTGAAATTCTCAGTATTTCATTTGTATAGTATGTATTTATAACTTTTTATCAACAATATTGCGTCGCTCTTCGGACTGCAGCATGGGAGTTCACATTTAGTGTTCTATAAACGTTCGTCTGCAAAGGTTTTGCTAAGCATGTTTCGGCTGAAAGCTCTCCTATATTACGCAACTATCGCAATAGTTATTAATGGATCGTCAGGATCCGAGGACACTGGTCGTTTCGTGTGCCGATTGGAGGATCCTCCCAATCAATGCGGGGAATTCTGCCTTACAGCGTTGATGCCACTGATCGATCACATTGCCAAGGTCCAGGAGCAGTCGAAAACATGCAACCTTGACAACGGCCTATCCAAGACTAAGTTGGAAGAAATAGAGGGCCATCAGAAGGATATTCAGACACAAATTGAAAGCCAGAAGACATCACTTACGGAATCGTGGAAGAAGATCATTGCGGATGACATCGGGAACAGAATTAATGGGCTGGAAAGTAAACAACTCAAGATGGAAGGTCAACTATCTGCCATACAGGATTCATTGACTACTATAAAGAAGTCTCTGGAGAATGTGATTTGGGAAAAAATCATTTCACAAGGGTTCAAGCGAATCGGATCGAGATATTTGTACATCGAAAACAATGATAGCAGAAACTGGTCCAGCGCTTCAAGAACATGTAAGCAGATGGGAGGTAATCTAGCCTCAATATTAAATAGAGAAGACTTTGATGCTATCGTTTCACAACTGAACGATGGAGAAAGCTATTTGGTTGGCATTACCGATGTGGCGGAAAAGGGCGTTTTCATATCTGTGTCCTCCGGAAAGGAAGCTCCTTTTCTGAAATGGAAACCGGGGGAGCCCATATACTACCATGATGATCAGCGTTGCGTTACTATACATGACGGTGCCATGTGGGTTGACGGTTGTTCTAGTTCTCACAAGTTCATTTGCGAGGCAGGATATATTATATAATAAACAAAAATATATATGCCGTTATACGAGTATTGCTGATAACTATGAGTGAATATGTTATGATTAGCAATGTAAAATAATAAAAAAACAAACATTTTGTACAGATAATTCGTTAAACTTTTATTTAGCCGTTGATGTTTTGTGTTTTTTTAACATAATATACTTTAGTATTGTTTAAATCTTCATTTTGTGGTTGCCTTTCGAGTGTTCCGCACATTCTATTTAATGACAAATCGTGTGCGAAAAGTGCAATATGAAATTGGTATAAATTGCCTACTTGAAAATGCATTTGTGATGAAAATCATGTACCACGTATATATCGTTAATCGGTATCAGGATCGATATCTCTATCGATAACTAAGGCTAGCTCGCAGTGAGTGAATCGAGTGTTCTGTGTGAGTGTATAACGCATCGTTCGCTTAAAGACCTAAACTTAAGACTAAACAAACAATTTGAAACAAACAGCCTAGATGGAAAACATACTTCTCGTACATTAGGTAGAAACAACTTCAGAGGTAAGAATTACTCATTCCTAGGAGTAATACCCATATGAGCTGGGGGGATGGGGGATATTCGTTGCTTGGTAAACTTTGTCACGCGTTAAGGTCGTTGAAAGAGAAAATAATACAATACACATAAGATATGCAGTTTGCCATGAGTTGGGTTGAGATAAGCAAATCGGAATTCGGGTTGGACTGGATCGCCTAGTGGGATGGTGCCCCATACGAGCTGCTGGGAGCAGAGGGTGCGGGCGGGGCAGCTGGAGCTCCGTACTCGGGCGCTGGAGGCGCCACACTGTTGGGATAGGGTCCGGTCTCTTCCTTCTGGGTCTTGTAGCGGATGAAGTACACCTCCGGCTTGCTGGGCTGGGTGGGAGCTGGAGTTGGGATAATGATCTCCGGCTGCTCCTCCGGCTTCTTGACTAGCACGTACACCAAGGTCTTCTCCTCGTTCTGTGGGAACTGCGGGATTACAGGGGCGGTCGGGGCAGGTGGAGATGGCGCCTTGATGAACACGATCTTGTAGTGCTTCTGCGGAGGTGGCACGTAGAGGGGTTTCCTGGTAAAAATATTGGAACATGTATTTTTTTAAGGCTCAGAGGCATAGAATACTTTCTAGTATAATCATTTCGTATAATCTATGTGAAAAGAAAAATGCTTTCCACATCCATATACATCGTTACCCTTATAGGAAAAACGTATTTTTTCTTAGGCTCAATTACTTTCAGGTTATGTGCAGGATGTATGCTTCCGGTTTAAATCAATTTACATACCGAATACCAAATTTCAATTGTACATGGCCAGGCTGTAATGACTTTCCGCACTTTCCTGCATTTTTGAATGAAGCCGGAGAAAGGAGTTTCTCTTAGAGGAGCATGCAAATGGCATGCCCATAAATGGTGACCTCCCGAAAATGGTGACCTCCCGACCATGGTGGACCCACTGCAGCTGCTTGTCAGTTTTGCTAATCAGATGGAGATGATGACTATTGTGACGATGACAGCGATTGTCACAACAACCGCCTCGAGACGAGGGTTTACATAAAGCTCCCTATGGTAATCTGCGATGATAAGTTGCTTGGAAATGGTACTGAGATATATACAAGTGCTGCGGCAAGCTTAGGTAACGTTTTAGTCACGGTTTGGCGGTCTGCAAAGTCATATCACTCCCCTCTCGAGGTAATTAACATTGCTTCCAACTCCAATTGAAAACAGACAGAAGACGACAGAAAACATTGTATGAGCGAAAAGAGAGGAAAGTTGGATGGCTTTCCTTTTCGCGGGTATTAAATAATGTTCCTCCTGCTTTAAAGCGACCCCCTAAATACCCTGGAAATGAGGCAACAGCTGTGGAAAAGGGCCCTGAGTTGGATTAGATGATTGCTGGCTGGTCTCGCAACATTTGTGTAGTTATTATCTTTGGGAGTTGGCGGCACTGGCTGACTTACGCCGATGAATTGTGAGAGAATCGGCATAAGTGCCGTGGATTATATACTCATAACAAAACAATGTATTTTTCTGCCATTTTTTGCCAATCTTAAGTGGAACAAGAAAATAAAGCGAGATCGTTTGTAACCGCTCCCAATTACGCGCGGCGAACAAAAATAAGATGGATAAGGGGTGCGAATAATATGTACTGCGACTTATCAAACGAAATTCTCTACAAAGATCTATTCTCGGAAGAACTATAAAATGTGTTGAAATCTTTCTATTATGTGGCCATTAAGCAAATATCAATAAGGATCAATAGGGATATCCAGGATATTTTCTGATCATACTGAATGTGTATAAAATAACACTTTAGGTGAATGTAAAAGTATGTTTAAATTTTAAGCGATGATCATCTAAAGTATCCAAATTTTAACCGAGGATGTATATATTTTCTTCAGGAACTGTTTTGATGTTTTTTTAGTTTTATACTTTTAGGTTGGACGTGAACCCAATTGAACCATTTTGCTCACGATTTTCGGATCTTATGTCAGCTTAAAGGATCACTGATCCTGGGACTCACCTGGGTGCCTGGTATTCCGGCTCTGGTGGGGGGACATGGACGTAGACGTGCTTGTGGACCACCGGCGCCTGCTGGGGGGGTCCGTACTGGGGCGCAGGGGCGCCGTAGCCCCCGCTGGGTCCACTGGGCTGGTAGCTGCTGGAGGGGGGCGCACTGTACGAGTCACGAGGCGGCTCTGGACGAGCGGCCACCAGGGCAGCCAGGGCCAAGAGGACCACTAACTGCGGACGAGATCGGAGGAGAACACACCATTAAGCGAGGTCCATCATGGGCACTTGGTTGCTTCGGTCACATGATCATACCACACAACTGGACTGCATTTTCGGGCGGCTTATGTTGGTTATATCCGTTTCGGGTTTTGTCACTGCTCCAGGTGGCTAGGTGCTACTGGCTGTCGGTTACTGGTAGTGTGGTGCTGCTTCGACGCGGAACCTCTTACTGCATGCCACAACGATTGTTGCAGTTTCTTTTATAGCGGCGCAGCGCGTGAAATAAAAATTAAGTAAAATTCAAGACGACGATCAAGACCGCCGCTGCTACAGTCGCCTCAGCTGCTGCCTCAGCTGCTGCTTCAGTCGACCGAGCAGTCGGCAAAGTCGGCAGAGTTGGCTGAGCAGTTGGCAAAGAGCGGCAGCGGCATGTAGCCATGAAGAAATTGAAATGTTTAAGCCAAGTCCAAAGTTTGGCCAGTCATGATCTGGTGGGGAAACTGGGACTGCACCTCCTGGCTGCGATGCAAACGGCGACCGCGAAGCCAACCGAAACTGCAACGTCTGCCGTCTGCCGTCTGCCGTCTGCTGACCATTTCTTGGCTTTTGGTTTTCCTCCTTCGATTAACTACTTCTTTTTCGTGGTTTTTGAGCATGCGGTCGGTCGGTTTGTCGGGCCAACTAGGATTATTTTCAAGGGGAAAATAAGGAACCTGAAAGGTGCAGTGTACGTACAATTAAGCTTGAGGCAGCAAGGCCATCAAATAGGTTTTATGGCATGCTGGCTGCTGGCATGCACAAAAGTTTTTGTTGAAGGGTCCATTATTTTCAAGGGAAGAAAATAAAGGGTTCTTCAAGTAACCTCAGCTGAAACATTTCTTGCCTAAGCTAAGAATATTTGAGACCTCCTCTCTTAAAGTTATAAATTTTATAGAAATAAATTTATTTATAAAATTACTTTTTATCATATTACTTTTTTATCATATAATCAATTTTATTTAAGCCTATTAAAGACATATTTAATTAAACGTATTCTTTTAGCTAATTTGAATTCGTTCTGTTTAACTTGAAATAACTTCATTCAGCATCTAGTTCTTTTATTATTATGATGTTTAGTTTAACTGTATTAGCTGTCTTATCTTAATTTACTACCACAAAGGGATGACTTTAAATTGAATACTGTTAGCTGAGATAGTCATATTTTGTATATAATTTAATTTCTGATTACATTATTGGCTTTTTCCTAAAGATCATTTAAAACATTGGTGCAGATTTACCGCAGAGTATAACTCCTGCGAACTGATTGCCAAAGAGACAAGGTTTTTCCAGCAATATCTGATTTTTGTTTTATATATCGTGGCATTATTATATATACGTGGTAAACTGTATGTGTGTAAATTGTTATTTTGGTCATTTGGAGGATCCAATCGCAGTGGACTCGTAACCAAGTCTGGACTCTGGATCGGATCGTGTGGCACGATTCACTTTCAATTTCAATGGATGTGGATTCACTCCCATTTAGCCCGCTGTTTTGGGGAATGGATTGGTATAGTATGGTATGGTGTGGTATGGTATGGGACAAGATGGGATGGGGGTAAGCTTTGTTTTGTGCTCTGGAGTGGGACTGAATCTGGTGTTGGTTTTATTTCATTTCTTCATGCTCTTTCGGCCTTTTGTTAGCCAGCTTCTTTCGGTCTTTCGGTCTTTCGGTCTTTTGGGTTGTGTTGTGTGTTGTGTCTTGACTTGACTTGGCCTGGCTTGTTGTTATTGCTATTGTTACTGTTATTGTTTTACTGGTTAAGTTGCTTTTGTAATTGCTGTCCGCGTTTTGGCCACGAAGCTTCATAATGAGCTTCACGCTCTTGTTGGGTCGACCCATCTGCACAGGCATTTTATTTAATTTTTCTCCACATTTTTTTTGTTTTTGCAATATTTTGAATTTCTTCAATTTGTTTCTTTTTTCACTGGCCAGTTTTAGTGTTGTTTTCGGGTTGTTTTTCTTATTTAATAATTTACGCCCCGGCCATGACAATTTGCGTTAGAGAAGAGTGATGGATAAAATTATGATTGGCAAAATGTTTTGCAACTTTTCCATGGCTCATAGCCCCATAGCAATAGCTAGCTTTTTCCCTGATTTATGCACATAATCTATAAATGGCAATCAGCATTTTTGCATCGGTTGCAAGCGATACTTGGCCGCATTTTGGGGCCACTCCTGCTCAATCGCAGCCGGAATTTAACTTTATGATATGCCATAATCAGTGACCAGTGGCGCCAAACGGAGGACGACACCGCAGACCGTAGACGGCGCAGAGTAAGATACCCAGCAGCAGTATTGCAACTGCAACTTGCAACAGTTGAGAGACACAACTGGAGAGTCACAGAGTCAGAGACTGTCACTTTTCCTCGATGGCATCATTTATAATGCCGTTAGCCAAATGGCAAGTTGTGTTGATTTTGTTGTTCATCTTCGGCGGCTGCACTTGCTCCCCTGTTCACGGATTGCATTTCCTTAATTTTCCACGCTCATCTTTCACATTCACAACCATCGTCATCATCATCATTCGCTGGTCGCGGTAAAATATGCTGAATTCACAAAGGTGGAACAGGTGCAGGTTCATCAGTGGTAACTCCGCGTCCTAGGGCCATTTTGTCAGTTTTTCCGGTGCAGATATCTGCGAAATTTATGCCTCGGGCCACCCTTGACCCATTATTTTATCCAGAAGATAGTAAAGAAATTTGAGCGCCGAGAGAAGTGTGGCTTAAAAGTTTATAGGACCATTAATTCTGCTAAATACCAATGCTTCAACTTTATTGGCATTGTGTAACGTCCAGAGGATCGTAAATAAGAAACTTAATTATGGACTGAAATAAGAGAAAAATAAATTATTATAAAGTTATTTTAACGATGAACACGAACATACAACGATTAACGAAATTTTATGGCACTCTGAGACTAAGGAAAAATGTGGAACTCAATTATTAAATATAAATTTTGTGTTTGTTTAACTAATGTTTAACAACTACTGTTTGATCATAGCTGATAGACATTTTATATAATTAACAAAGTCTACCTAGTTTGATAAAAATTCAATGAATTTGTGATTAAAATTTAATTGCAGATACCTTAAAACATCTTCCACTTGTCCTCAATTAAGTATTTGAAGAACATGGATATGTATTGTTGAAACCATAACTCGTACGTAATACGTAATTTTCCTACTGAATTTTCGCAGTAACATTATGCATTCTGGGAAAACCTCGCATAGGGCGGATACATTCTGCTGGCCAGGCCATTATGCGAATTATGCATGGCACATTGCCAGATCTTAATGAATTCGCCATGCCACAGCGATTCTGAGCCATATAATCAGCGTCGCATTCAGCCATTCATCTTTCTGCTTTCTCCGTGGCCTCAACCGAGTAACACAGTTCCCCCAAATCTCCCCCAAACATACATACATATACCATTTAAGCTATTTCAGCTACCAACTGGCTGCCATCTACACCTCAGCGTGCACAGATACTAATTATTATATTGTATCTCTTGTGACTTTATGTAACAGGCAAAAACAAAGGCAGACGGATCCATTTAAATGATATTATATTTACATAAAAAAACAAAAACAAGCGGGAAAACAATTATAATTTCGTTTACAAAACGAGAAACGGCACTTGGCGGGCAAAAAGTACTTAACGGCTTCGAACTGACATTGGGAATGGGTTCGAAATGGCGTATTCGATTGTATTTAATTGTATTGTATTGTATTGGGGTTTTTGGGTTCGGGAGACGCGATGTGTCTTTCTGGTGGGTGCCACTTTGCGGCGTTTAATTTGTCGAGAGTTGCACTTGAAGCACGTGAAAGTAAATTGAGATAGATGGGAATCTTTCAGCTGGCGGCGCCCTCAAGTAGATGGATGTGAAATGCACGAGTATCTGAGCCCAAAAGATGAGATGAGATGGGTTGAATCTGAATCTGAATCTGAGACGTTGTACGTTGTACGGTTGCGTTACACTCCGCATGCGTTATGCAACAGGCTTCACTGTATCGGTGGCCAGAGATCTAGTTGAGAGAGGGATGTTGCATTGAAAATGATTTCTTTTATTGTTGCTTCTGCGGCGAGTCATAAGTAATAAAGATAACGTAAGTTAACAACAATTAAATGTACATTTATATATGGGTACGAATTAAGTAGTGTGTATATGTGCCTCCCTCGACGCGTTGCTGGCCATAAAGTCTCAACCGAAATCGCATTAAACTTGGGCCCATCTTCCAGCGGAGGCCATCTAGTGGAGGTTAGTTGGGAGTAGTATATTTATAAATACACAATACATTTACTATATATCTTCATATGCCCGGCCAGCCTTGGGGCCCATTAAAACTCCAGTTATTATTGTTCGTGGGGCGCTTGTGGAGGTTTTCGGGGTAAAATATTTACAATTTAACGCACTCTTGTATATTTTTTTATCTCTTGTTTGACCGCGCAAAAAGAAGTTGAAAATCCGCACTTAGTCTACACCATTAAGGGTTTTTTTTCAGAGTTTTTCTTTTTCAGAGGGACGGGGTTGCTCTACAACACATAGGTACATACATATACATAGGTACATTTTACACTTCGGGCTTACCCAAAGGATTTTAAAAATTATTGTTCTAGCATAGGAACTGTCTGTGTCCTTTTAAGTTTTCCAGTTTCATTTCATTTCTGAATTTGCCTTCTGTTTATCGTTTTTGCATTCCAAACCAGTAAGTGTAATTCAGTTCGGGGTAGGGGAAAACCATGTTCAAACTTTTGAATCGTATGAAACATTTCAGAACTATGTACTTAAGATGCACTTCTCTGCTGGAGATGTAATGCTATGTAGAAATTGTTGCACAGCTTTAAAAAATCAAAATTAACATATTGTATTGTTCAAATGTGTACTTATTAGGAATGTCTGTCCATAAAATATAATACAATTAACTTACAGGGCATGTAATCAAATTAACATTTGTGAGTAGGTTTTGCATATGGAAGAATCAAAAGGTTCCCTAATATCATTTTATAAAGGGTCTCAAGCATTTGAAAGTGATTTTGCAAAGTGTCCTTCACAACATTCCAAAATGGCACAAGCTCATTCAAAGTACTTCAAAGAGATTTCCCCGACAATCCTTTGCTCCATTTATTTGTCCCTTTTCACGCACTTTGCTTTCGTTCCAATTGGATTTTAATCCTGTGAACATTTGCGACACTAGTGTCCCCTTTTCGGACTCGGAACATTTTCGTTTGCAACATGGCTCCCCCTGCCCCTGGTTTCCGTGTCCATAGTCGTGCTGGCTGTTGTCGTCAGGTGTTCCCGTGTTCCCGTGTCTCCGGGCCAGAGGGCTTAATAACGCCCATAGTTGGGCCCGAATCGGACTCCGTCTCCGCCCAACTCGTCCAGGGCACCCATGGCACTCAGTTTCTGCAGCCAGGCGGCATTGGAGTTGCCGTTGGACACGCGTGGATTGTTGCTGTTGCTGCTGCTGCTGCTGCTGCTGCCACCGATGGCCTCATTGTGGAGACGCAGCTGTGGGTGTTGTTGCTGCTGCTGCTGCTGCTGCTGCTGTTGCTGTGGGTCCTCATTGCTCAACTCCAAAATCTGCAAACACAAAACGCAAGACGGGCATAGAAAGAGTTAAACTCCGAGCTGTTGTTATGGTTGTTATAATTATCGTATAGTTGCTGTTGTTAACGCGACTCGACCCCCGCCGCCTTGTGATGATGGAGTCAGATATTTCAGAAATCTGTTGAAATCTTATTTATCCAACGTGGGAAGTTCGTCACACATTTTTCGCTATCTTCTTCATTTTTGTTAATTTTAATTTTTTTTTGGCGCATCATTAAATCGAATGAACTTTATCTGTAACGACAAGGCGGCCTGCTTCTGTTGTCTGCATGGATTAACCCATTGGTTTCGCAAAAGCTAATACTAACACTAAAAAAATTTTATTTTTTGCTGACTACTAGTTAAAATTGGTAAACGAATTTGAAACCCCTATAGAAATCGATGGGAGTATAGTTGCGATTTAGTATGAAGCCAGTTGTCTTGTGCAATTATCTCTACTTTAATAGCTTCGTTTAAGTGAAGTATTTAAGAAGCTATGTGTTACTATCACCCATTCAAGACATCTAAGATATCTGAAAACCTGAAAATTCGAAGAATCTATCGAGTTGGCTTCACTGCCAAAAATGGGTTAACCCGTCTTGGAGCATTAAGATGCTTGGCTACCAACTCTTGGCTCCTCATCTGTGCTGCTGTGAGCACTGATGAACTGAATATGTGTTAATGGGGGGTATTGTCGTGTAATTATCAGCCGCCAACCTCTTTTCTGGCTACCACTGCAAACCCTGCCGCTTTTGCCCCTCTGGAGCTGGGCTTTTGTCTTTATTTTTGGCCAAGACTGGTGATGATGTGTGAACAAACACAAACAACAGCAGATTAAGCGAAAACCCTAATACAATTTCGCGCCAAGTAATTATTTTATTGCTAATTTTGAAAGAGAGAAAAAAAACGAGATTTGTTTATATATTCGGACAGTTGCAATATTTCCCTCCTTTCGCTTTCCTTGACTCAAATGCCATTAATGGTATCCAGAGGTGTACAGGAAAGCGATGATGACTGGGATTGTTATCGCATTGCATCCGACTCACAGGGGGGAGGGTGAGTTTTCCAGGGGTCGAGGGGTGGTGTCAGCTGTGTTCATCTCCCTTTTTTCATTAAGGCAGTTTAAGTTGGGCAGTTTAATTTGAGAGTTGTCGTTAAGTGAAAAGTTATGTGATTGTGTTTGGCCTCCCTCTCCCTTTTCCAGCTATCTTTGTCTATTTCTATGAATCGATCTCTCTTCCTCTTTCGACAAGGATTGGGTTTTAGCCGATTGGAAAGGGGGTTGGCAGATACTTTATGTTTTGTTTTCTTGCGAGGGGAATCTTTGGTTGTTGCAGATGTGTTGTTTTGGGCTCGGCAATTTCTGCTCTGTGGAATGGGCCACTTGATGAGTGGCGTTTGTGGCAAGTGCAAAACGAATGCTGAAAATAATTGGCATCAATTGGACATAATGTTGTGATGGGGAACGAGGGAAATACAATATAAAATAAATGGTGGGTCGCCTTAGAAAAGAGTATATTACGGATTTAAATTTATAAAGTAATTTTTAAAAATAGAGATGCGTTTTTCCCCCCATTTCTTTAAGAAGCTAAACAAAGTTAATACATTTAAGCCACTTTGTCACACCCATTTGAGTCCCATTGTGACCGCATTAAATTGTCTGCCTAATGGATTACGTTTAAGACCCCACTCATCTCTTCATTAAATTAACATTGAATCAAAAGCTCAAGTTCATCCTCAAATTAGTTTCAAGCCCCCTAACCAATTATAAACTTTACCCACGTACCACTTTGCAACCCCTGAGTCGACACAATTATAATCCAATATATCTCTAATAAGTCAAGAGCATTATGAAATTGTCATTTTGCACATTCTATAACACAAATTGCTTTTGGGAATTCCGTCCATCTCCATTGTCATCTCGGGCCAAAACCCAAGGAGGGGGTGGACGTCGTGTCGTCCTGTTGACATCCATCCAGTGGAAGGCAATAAGCTAAAGGCCAAGTTATGTTGTCTCATGTCCCTAATGCTGCCATTGCTCTCAGCCTCTCAGCATCTCAGCCTCTCAGCATCTCAGCTACTCAGGTTCAATGCATTATTGTGTGTCAAGTGTTTTCATTTCGCATTCTGCTTGTTTTTCCCCCGACTGCCGCCTGTCTTCAGAGTGACGTAGTGAAGTCAACCTTCATCAGCGGCAATGCGACCACGTCACCGTCATTATTTGCTATTTGACATTTGATTTCCCTTTTCTTTTGCTCGGTCGCATACTTTTTGCCATGCTTTATTTTCTGCTCGCTTTTTTGTCCAAACATGGTCTTCTCTTGGTCTGTGGTCTTTGGTCTTTGGTCTTTGTCTGCGCGACGTCAGCGACTTATCGATTTGCAGGGACCATGACTCAGAAAAGAGTCTGCAAAGGGGTTGAGAGCCATGAACGTCAATACATTCAGGGAAAAACCGGGGAAATTCAGTCTAGAAGCCTGGACCGGAACTTCTTGATCAATCTTAGTTCATGTATTAAATTTGCGCTGTCATAGACTGTCCATTAGTATTTGGCCACATTTTGGCACCAAATATGTTAATGCAAATAAATAATGCAGCATATATTATATCAGCGGCTCTGTAAATTGTTCACTGTTTTGAAAATTTCACATTTTCAAATATTATTTCACTAGCTTCCGTCCTATTGCTTATGCTCCAATCGGATTTTTTTCAGTGTCGATTCCGTCTGCTACAGATACTCAATTCGATGGTAGGCAAACAGTTGCAGTTAGGCATTTTGTAGGCTAAAATCGCGCTGACTTGCAGCTGCAGTGGATTTGTGCACATCGAACGGCAGTTAAGTGGGGCTTCCTCGCTGAGTCCCCTGGTGACCCCCGGATTCCCCGGTCCCTCGATTCCTACCCTCCTAGTTGAGCCGCATTTTTGTGTTTTGGTTGCGAAAAAGAACAGGAAACTGTGCCGAAAAAACTACAGACGCACACTTAAAGCAACAACAACTGCCGTGGTGGCGGCGAATCAAAAATTGTGCAAAAGATGAGGTGCCCGGCATGCAAGTGTTGGCCAAGTTGGCGATTGTAGCCGAGCAGGCTCCTCCGTGGATGGGGGAAAAAGAAGAAACACTTGCGAAATATGTAAAAATATTTCTGAAATGGTTTGCAGACGCACAAGAAACCGCAGAGCAAGGAGATTGGAGCAAGAAGGGGAAAAGAAGTGGTGGTGCGGTTAGCAGGAATCTTCGGTGGAATCATTGGGGCCGTGGCCGAGGGACCTGTGTAACCTTATATCCGAGCCTATGACGTAACCTCCATTCCATTCCATTCAATTCCACTCCACTCCACTCCACGCCATAAGTGACCAAAAACAAAACACCAAAATCCAAAAAGGAAAAAAACACAAAAGGTAGAAACGCACGAAAACAAAAACAAGTCGAAAATAAAACCTCAATAATTGGCGACATAATTGCAACTTAATACCACGCTTTGGCTCTCTTTTCATTTAGTTAATTATATTGACAGCGCACCGAAAATGCCAATGCACAAAACTCGGCTGAAGATACCCATCGCACACTCACTCAGATACACTGAAGAAATGGTCAGTAATGGATCATTTTTAACTGGCGATCCACTAAAGCGTCAATTATGAAGGTGAATGATAACAGCATAATTCAGCACTCTATTAATTAAGGCAGGACCCATTTATGTACACAAATATTTGCGAAAACCACTCTGCAATTAGTCTAAAACATATTTACGGGCTTAACACAATATTATGTGATCTCGACTGGTGTGAGCTATGTGTCGGAATGTGTTCCTTATAAATGGATTATTTAATGCATTAAGGCGTTAATTAAAAATAAATGTATATTTTTGGTGTTTTTCTGTGTATCCGAATAATTTTGGTTGCCTGAATATTGGGACTGATTCTAAATACTTTACGAAGTAGTTAGTTTTAATATTTATAAAGTATTTTTAATGTAGCTAAAAATTCAATATAAATAGAGAGAAATATTGGTGTTTCTTTTAAATTGTTAATTATTAGGTGCTTGCATAATTATGCACAGCAAAACTCCGTAAACTCCGCGCACAATTATTCCCAGATCGAGCAAAACTTTCGCTCAGTGTAGACTTGCTCACCTGCAGCATCAGTTCACGCAACTTGTCCAAATCGTCGCCATGCGACCTTGTCGGCAGGTAACGGCCGTCGACCAGATGAGGTGGGACGACCAGGAGCAGCACCGTCATCCAAACCAAGAGCCACCTGTGTCCACTTCCACTTCCACTTCCAATTCCAGTTCCCTGCCTCCGTAACACTCCCATTGTTGTCCTGGTGGGGGGCGTTCTGGGGTCTGCAGTCGATTCAAGGGGCGTGGCACCGGACTGCAAGGAGAGAGAGGCAAGTGTGTGAGCCCCTTGCAACATTGCAAAAGACGAAGACAATTGCAGGATGTGTAATTGGCATGGCAATGCTGATGGCTTTTAAGGTGGGGTCGCAGTGGGAATAAAAACAAACCAGAAATGCATCTCACAGACTCACAGATTGCAGTGAATCGAATGACTGATAATTTATTTCCGATGACTGAAGGAGCGTCACCATTGGGACTTCTATTAATTTACTCATAAATCTTGATAGCATGCATCTGATGCATTTCTCGGGAATCTATTATTAATTAAGTTTAGTTTGGCTTGTGCTATCCAGATCAGTTGGAAATTTGTCCAGATTTATTAAAAGGCTGCGACTTATATTTCACAATTCAATGAACCCATCAAAATAATAAATACTTGATTGGAACTTTAGAGTCTCAATCTACAACTTCAATTCTTTGTTTTTCCCTTTTTCCTTAAATTCCTCTTGAAGTGGCGCCTTCAAAAAATTCAATTTAAATGTAATTCGCGTTTTCGTGGCTGCGCAGTAATAATAAAACTGCAACGGAGCCACTTGGTTTGTTTACTCAATCGAAAGAGGATTACACAATGCTCGAAATTTATGATTATGGCACTGACACTGAAACCAGAAGCGAAGGCAAATGGCACATCTGCACCTGCAGCCCGCTGTGACTCACGGTTTGCGTTTTTCGATGGAGTTTCGAGTTTCGGAGTTGTCCTGGCGCGAGTGGGAGGATGAGGATTCCGTCCTAACAACGTCACGTAGCGAATGTGTTTTGTTCGGCGAAGTTGAGGAGACCCCGAGCGATGCTGTGAACTAGGATAACAATGTAAGTTTAAGCCAAGCTGCGTGCCGACATTTGTATTTATAGCCAAAATTGCGGCACTGGCCGAGATTTGGAGATGACGCCAGGACGCCGCCGTCGCCTTCGACCACGGCCCGGATATTCCGCCCCACGAATGCGCTACGCCCCTATGGGGAATTCGAATTAGCCTTTGGTTTGTCCTGTCTCCGAGCCGAGCTCTTTTCCCATTTCACTTTTAGTGCGCGCGCAGCGTCGGAAAAGCCAACGAAAGTACCAAACAACAACATCCTATCCATATCATTGTCACCACACACTCGTTTACATGTGGCTGTGGCTGTGACTGTGACTGTGGCTGTGTGCGACCGTGTTTGTGTGGCCTCGCATTTCTATTGTCCTGTTCTCGGGCGTCATCATCATAATACGTATACGCCATGCCAGCCATACCAGCATCCCGAACAGCCAGCTTCATCTGGCGAAATGGTTTCGCTTGGCCAACTTTCATGGTTAAGTTGCTGCGGGTTTTAGTGGGTTGTTCTTGTCATCGCGTTAATGGGTATTGAGGCAGCCAGTGGGTATATAGGTGAAGCTGAAATAAATACTTCGCCTGGTGAGTCCTAACCCCGACAGTATTTAAATTCGAAATAACTATTGCCATGCGAACACAATAAATGTTCAAAGTAACGCATTGGTTGGTGTAATCATAATTCAAAAGGTAAACACCAACAGTTTTGGCAAGGAAATGTTTAATATCTGTTGATAAGATTCAATATATTATCTTATGGTAGTATTTTATTATAATATTACAGGCTATCCTCAGACCGAGAACTTTATCATCGCATTCGAAGTTGCTGTTAGTAGTTGCTGTTGCGACTGCCGTCGTCATGGCTGCAACTGTTGACATTGCGGGCGTCAATAAATGGCCCAGTCCTCGGGGCTACGACTTTGGTTAACGTTAACTGGAGCCCAGCACTCAATTGTTATGGTCTTCCTAAGCGCTGCTGGGATATGTGCGGCTGGCTACGGCTAAGGCTATCTGTGGTGTCGGTGAAATGGACCATTTGTATACCACGCACGACCGATAGACCGAAATTTTTGATATAGCGCAGTTTTGTGTAGCCATTGCTGTGATTGAATACGTGACGGGCATGGGAAGTGGGCCAGTTCGGGCAGGGCAAGGGCTTTTACGACCCGGACTGGATGAGGAATACTAGTAGCAATATGCTCATTCATACCCACCCTCCGCCACCACTCAGCTGCTGGTTAATTTATGGCCCTTCGCATGTAAACGCTTTATGAAAGAGACCAAATTGTGGATGCCCATTGCGTTCTGGGTGTGTTATAAAACCCCAAAAAAAAGGAAAAACAATTACTCAAAATATGAAATAATCAATTCACCCTTTGCGTGAATTGAACCCATGACTTCCGACTGAGGGAAGTAAATGAAATTTACTTTGCGTTGCCCTAGGCTGAAAGCTCTTGAAAGCTCTACTTTGAGCTCATCGAAATATGATGCTTGTATGGGGATTTTCTGTAAGCGAAGACAACAAGCATCGGTGGTTCAGTGGTAGAATGCTCGCCTGCCACGCGGGCGGCCCGGGTTCGATTCCCGGCCGATGCAAAATAATTTTTTATTTTTAAATTGTTTTTTACAATTCAACATATTTTCCTTTGTTTGCATATTCTCTGACTAAACTGAAGCATTCATATTTTAGCAACTCTGTTGTTGTAATTTATCAAGCAGTCAATAATTGTTTTGGGGTTTCCCCTTCGGTCTTATGGCCATCTAATAAATCATGATTTAACTGACCACCTGACATTGTTTCCACCATATTTTGTTTAAAAGCGAGATGAAGGTAATTGTTACCGATTTTATTGTTTTACATTTTGTTCACCGTACTATCAAGCAAGGCTATAATTTCAAGTGACTAAATTTCAAGTTTTTTTTGTAACTCCTTTTATGACACATTATTTAAAAAACACTACAAATACGATATATGTATAATTATTTATCACAAAAAACATGAAGGTTTGATTGCAGCTTCACTTATTTAGGCAAGGTGTTAATTTGTTACTGATTTTAAATGTTGACCTTGCTCAAGATTTAGGTAAAATGATTTCTATATAAGGAATATGAGGGAGATAAAATTCATTCTCCCAAAAGTAATCCTAATTGACTTAGGTTGGCATTTTTAAATATTGTATAGTCAAATAGAAAACAAAGACAAATACACTTTATAAAATATCCCATTTATCTTAGCAATTTAGTATATCGCCAAACAGGGCTACCAAATTAGTTATCCGCAGCTAAAATCTCATATGCTCGCGTGATATTCTAGACTATGTGCTAATTGATATGCTAGAATACAGTGTTCCCAGTCCCAAATTTCATATTTAATATTTGCACGAGCTTTATTCACTTCAATCGTTTTACAATTACGTTTACAATTACCGTACAACAAAAATGGAGTCTGAGTAATATCGCATGGTGATGGAGGAGGGGATACAGAGAATAGTGGAGATATACATATGGCTCGGATAAAATCTTAACTAGGTGTAGAATTGATCTTAACTAGAGCTACCGATTAGGGCTTACGTAAGGTCTACTTAACAACAACTAAAATACATTCAGTGGCATTCTACCTACAATTACTTGTCTCAATTACATTTATCAATTGTTTATTATTATTTGCTCAGAGTCGGGTAATCTAGGGATTACATCTACAGACACAGCACGAAGGAAACAGGAACCAATCCATGAAAATGCCCTTACAATCGTTATCAGGATCGTAGGCCAGTAATCTATGCCATTTGTATTTTTGCTCGCATCCACATTCGCCCTCACATCGTGGAGTTTGGGTATTGCTGAAAAAATTAAGAGCATAATTTGAAATTTGGGTTGAGCAAAATGATTTAGTCAGTACTATCTAACCTGCAAACCTCCTGGTGAATCGCCTGCTCGAAATGCTGAGTATTTACGATGGCTCTGATTTTACCCGCGGAGTTCGATGCCCAATACGGTGTGACAATTTCAATCTTCGACTCGCAGGCATCGAGTCTTCCAGTGCCCGAACCACTATTCTTATTTCCCGGTGGCCTATTGGCATTAGTGTTTCCGTTGCCACTTCCTCCGGCAGATCCGCCTCTATTTCGACTTCCTCCGGCGGCTGCTTGACGTTTTTTCCGCAGTTCGCCAAAGTAACTATCTCCGGCTTCGACGGTCTCCCCGGCATTGGCAGCAAATGCTCCGGGGGGAATGAATATATCCGGCTCGTCTATGAAGCGACGCTTACGCACCTTGCCTTGTTGTCTGGCACCTCCTCCACCAGGACCCTCCATGTTCATCTCAAAGTCTCCGTACATACGTCGCATTAGAGCCTTGTTGTCGTCTATGAAGCGTTCAATCTTGTCACTAAAATGAGGAAAGGTGGTTATTTTAGGGATTTTAAGAACATAACGTAAATTATTTTTGTATAAAATATTAATTGATCCAGGTGTACGCAGTAAAATAACGTATTTAATGAATTTATTTTTATAAAAACGAAGTAACAAAGGAAATTAAAGTACTTCAAATAAAAATACACCAAATCTGGTGATTCAGAAAAATATTATTCTTAAATACCAATAATCATTTGAAAACAAATAATTGATTTGAAAGGGTTCGTGAAGAAGATAATAATATACGCAAAATAATAATTATAATTAAAAAGGTTAATTTATCAACTTGAGAAATTATCAACTTAAATTATCTTCTTAGCACAAAATGTTGCGAACCAATGGTAATGAACTTTGGACAAAATATCTTTGAAAGTCTCACTTCTTGGCGTTGCTTTAAGCCTGGTGATGAAATTCATAGTCATTTGACGTGCCTATGCTAATGAGAACCGTTAACTATATCACTTCAGAACAGTCATCCGGATTAAATTTGATTCAGATCGGTTTTTGCGCGAAAACCAGTGGTAAATAAAAACCACAGACACGCAAACATCCTTGATTTAATCAAGAGAACGTAATCGCAGCGAAGTTATACGACTGTTCCAAGGGAAATACCAGAACACCATTTCCACTCGGGATTTCCCGTATCCCAAAGATAGAGAACAATGGTTACTTACATGGGATAACTGTTGCCGGCCGTGGGGCAGAACAGTTGATGATATCGCTTAATGCACGGCACTCCCTTGATGACATCGCCGCGCACATCCAGTCCCAAAGCCACCGACAAAGCCGTCCACCAGATCTAAATAAACCAGAGATATACGATTTACTATTTAGCATTGAAGAAGACAATTGAGTTTCGGCGGGAATTACTGAGCCTCGGATTGGAATGGCGACCATAACAAATTATGGCAGGGGTGTGAAAATGAGTCAAGTAAGTCATAAACATAAAGGTTCGTTTTATATTCGAAAATAAGAAGATAAGAATTTTAGTTGGATTTTGGGACTCAGCTTACTCGAGTCGCCATGTGCCGATTTTCAATATCAATCTCTCTCTTCTTTCGTCGTCATCAACATCATCACACCTCTTAATGAAACGAACTCGCACGACCTTCGTGCGCAAAAACAAAAAAAAAGAAAATAAAACCGAAATGAAACACAAAATCGTCAAAGTTATTTCCGCAAATGAACAAACTCGATCGAAATCGAGAGTACACTGTAGGAAATCAGGAAAACTAGAACTCACGGCAGACGAACCCGAATTTGTACACACATTGTACAGTGTATTTTAATAGAAATATTAAAGGGACTTATGACCTATATGTAAGTGCTCCGTGGGACCTACTTTAATTTGTGATCTATATTTCCCGCAGTGTGTCAATTAAAGCGCGCGCGTGCTCAGAACCTCGTGCGGCCAACCTCTCAATCCGTTCCTCCATGCTTACCGGAATCTGTAGGAACGATCCGTTGTTGAGTTTCGGATAGGAGAAGAGCGGCACCACTGGAACCGTCCCGTTCTTCAAGTAGATTGGTCCCTGGATGGGCGTCACTGTGGGCATCTGATTGTTATTCGACTTATCTGTGAACGGAATGTAAATGGATTCGAAAATGAAGTGGAAATGGAAATTGGAGTGCTTTTAAATGGCTGCTGTTTCTGCGGTGATTCATGGCAAGGACGGCGGAATTGCTGTATCCGTGGTCGTTGTCACTGCATTAATCAGCCCGGTTAAACCCAAAAAGAGCTGCCATTGCAACTGCAAGTGCACTCGGTGTCTGCATACAAATCGCACTGCAGTTGACACTTGCATGTATAAATTTCATGTCTGCCTGGCATTTGTAATGCCCAGATCCGGATCTGGGTGCAGACAGAAACTTTCCCTTTTATAGCCATACTGCAGGATGCAAAACGGGTTGCAGAATGCGAAAAAGGGAGCACACAGTGCAAAACCACACTTTCTTAAGGAGTTACTAATACTAAATCTGAGATGGATGGAATTTAAGGGTTCTTGTTAAGTTGGTTCAAAGATACTCCTTGTAGGAACCTTATGATTATGATATTATTTCGGTAATTTAAATCGTAAACCAAAAATCGTATTACCAAACAAACCTTAGAGATTATTGATTAACAATAATATTTAACGAATATTCCCTATAACATGCTGTGATTATGTATAGACGCTTATATAGTCTATCGTGCATACCATCTTTTCTCGCAGTGTAAAGATCTCATGTCACTTTCAGCTAATGAGAAATTCTTTGGCAGGTTGTGAAATAGATTCTTTGTTTCTGTGCACTGATCTTTGGTTGAGATCGCATCATTTATGGTATTTTTCTGTCTGCACAAAGGTGAAAACCCAGTGTTGAGTACTTGAGTGCCGCGCCAAGACATCGAGCGACCCAAACTAGTATCTGAGTTTGGGTCTTGCGTGCGCACGTCTTCATATGAGAGCTGGTTCATGAGCTCGGCCCCTTGCCCCTCATTTCGGGAGATTGAAGCGCGACTTCTTGCATAATAGCCCCGTAACCGAGTTGAGTACTTGAGGTCTCAAGTCTGGCAGGTTGCTGGCTGGCTAATGCCTCGACAACTTGCAGATTGAGATTCAGATTGAGATTGAGATGGAGAGGCAGAAACAAAGAGGCGCCACAAGCTAGATCGAAAGTGAAACATCCGAAAAACTGAAGCGTCGCTGACAGTTTTCCAAGAGGACAACAAGGGCAGCAGATTCAGATGCGAAGATACGTAGATACTTGAGCCGTTAGATAGGCGGTCTTAGATACAGATACACCCCAGCACAACATAAATCGTGATGCGTGCCAGCCTGTTAGTTGCTATAAAAGTCAAACACTGGCCATTACTGTCTTGAAAGTGACCTTGCCGATCGGTTTGTAGACCTTTGACCTTGTCGTCGCTCGTTGCTTGTGCGCTGTTTACCCCACAGGTTTGTTATTTGTTATAGTTGTTCCGCGATCTTGTGCAGAAGTTGCTCTCAATTGGAAAGATACACAAAAACAAGTAGCAGGCGAAACCACAGAAATTAACATGACTTTCAGCGGCCGTCTTTCGGATCGTGTGCAAACGTGGGACTCTTTGCCGCTTATCTCAGTGAATCTACATGCTCCACATTCACACTACTCATACTTATTGACGAAAAAGCAAACAATTTAAGCCACCAACATTTGGTTTGTTTTTAATTGTTAATTGTTGAGATTGCCATCTCCGCGAATCAGGAAACACTCGAACTGGAATATACTCAGAAGAGTGATATGAGTAAGTCTCGGGAATTTCTTTCAGTTAAATGAGGAAGTGATTCTCGGACTCTTCAACAATAGTTCTGAAAAGTTAATTCTGTCACATTTTGTTGCTTAATTTATTATGCAATTAAATACTTTTTATTAAAGTCAGCTTGAGTCACTTATACGTGGGGTAGTTAGGCATTCCACTTTAATTTTAGAAGAATTTCTAAGGTAAAGAACTCAGATTGCTGTTCTGTAAAATCGTCAAATGTTCCAAAGCTTTGTAAAATCTTTGATTTTGTACGATTTTGTCGATAAATTAATCGTTTAATACTACATAATCCATTTTAAAAGTAAAAAAAAAAATTAATTAATAGTTAAATTAGTTAAATTTGTATGATTAAACCTATTAGCACTCACCGTTCTCTTGCCCTTCGTAGAACTGCCCTTCCTCCTCTCCGTCCTCCTCCTCATCCTCCTCGCCATCCTCCACGTCGTAGTCTAGAACGGCGTGTACCTGAGTCCTGGACCCTTGTCCAGCCTGAACCCGTGTGAATCCTGGTGCTCGCTCCGGATAATTCTCCGGCGGCGCAACTCCGTAAGTTTCGGCGGGTTGAGCCTCCGGCTTCGTCTGTCTGGCCCTTTGGGCCGGTGGTGCAGGTGGTGGTTGCTGCTGTTGCAAGGGCGGTGGTTGTTGCGGCTGCTGCTGCTGCCTGCTGCCAAAGCTGGTAATACTAAAGCTGCCGCTGTTCTTAGTAAAAGTGGCACTGGCACTGGCACTGCCATGTGCATTGAAGTATTGTTTCTGTTGCGGTTGCTGCTGCGGCGGCTGCGTTTGCTGTCCGGGATATCGGGAATACGAACCTTCCGCCGGACCCCGGCCACTCGTATGAGTCTGTGTCAGCTGGATGGAACTTTGGCCCGTGGTGCTGCTAGAACTTGACCTGGAACTAGTGCTCTGGAAGGATACGCTGTTCTCATGCTGATCCTGCTGCTGGTGCTGTTGCTGTTGCTGTTGCTGAGTTTGCTGCTGCTGCGTTTGCTGCACCTGCTGGATGTGGTAAACGGAATTCCGGACAGCATTCGGCGCTGTCGGTGGCAAGTAGGCGTTACTCTGCTTGCGTCGTCCAGCGGTATTTTGATATTGATAACCCCCCGATTGCGGCGGCGCGTAGGGATTGTTCTTGAAGTACTCCGGATCGGCGGCTGCCTCCGCGGGAGTCTGCTGCTGGTGGTCAGCCGGCGAGTAAAGCAGATTGTTGGTGTTGCTGGCCAACTGGTGGATTGGATGCAGGGGGGCTATGGTGACTCCCCAGGGCTGGCCCAGGGCACCGAAGGGCAGCGAGAAATTGGTCAGAGCCATGGGAGTGCGAAATATGCTTGCGCTATCAGTTCGCAAACGAAAGACTTAAGCGAAAAACTCGATTCGGCCGCGCATGCGACATCATCTAGAACAGATCAGCGCACGGAAATCGATGGCGCGCGCTCTCGAAATTGATTTATGCAAAAATAACAAATCAGTCAGATCAGCTCCCGCTTCCCAACCCTGGCAACAATAGCAAGCACACACTGGCAAACACAGAATATTAACACAGACACACACGCGTCGATCGGCGGGCTATGTCGTTTATATATATGTATATAGCGATATTAAGGTATGTGCAAACGATGTTGTTGTTATTAAATAACTTAAGCGCGAACTTTTTGCTTCGGTGCCCGGTCCGCGTGTGTGCTAAAAAACCATTCACGACAAGCTGACAATCGAGACTGAGCCGTTCTCGCCGTGCGCCTTAAAAACAAACTTAATGGGTGGAAAATGTTTCAACTCTCGAAATTTCAAAATCTCCGACTTTAAGCATTGCGCTCAGCTCCCTCAATCTCGGAATCTGGCTAAGAGCGAGCTCTCGGCGAACTGAGTTGCGTTTTTATCTTTCTTTTTTCGGTTTCTACTGAATGGCAATCGAAAAATAAAATAAAACCGGAAAATATTCGATGCTGAGTTAATCGAAGAGCAAATGCTCTTAGAGGTTGAGATACCTAAAAAAAAATATAATAACATTGAATTCTTTCCAAGGTATACATTATTCTCCGTTAATGATGATTTCTGTTAAACTATGATGTTTATTACATGAGATAATTGTAACCGAATTTAAGGTGAATTATTATTGGAATGTATCAGTGAAACATTTATTATATAGTGCACATCATTTTAGAGTTTGTCGGATGATTGATAGACTAGCGCAATAAATTTAAATAATTTATTTTAATCATCTTAAAAGTGAACCTAAAGTTGTTGACAGTTACCGCATATCAGCATTAAGGTGTTTTATTATTTTTGTCTTAATGTTTTGATTAAGAAATGGGTTTATCTTCTGGCATGGTTAAAAGCTGGTTTGGATTTTAAAATCGTTTAACTTAATGCGCTAAATTTTCTTTGAAGTTAGTTAATTAAAGAAAACCGTATACTAATTAAGTTACGCGCACATCTGAAATCAACCCAGAATGCCAAATAAAAATTAGAGTATACCTTTCCTATACCTTTACTGAGGGAATCTTCTTCGACAGGTGCCGACGGCATCCCTCGAAGTGGGATTAGGTTGATGTTAATGAGAACCCCGTTTAGCTGGCATTAGTGACCTAGGTCAATGCCTGGATGCGTCGTCATGGGCTGGTATACATTTTAGTGGCTTTTGCCGATAAACGCATATTAATCACAGCAACCAAACCGAAAACGACTTCTGCGCTGTTTTATTTCACATCGAAGGCAATGAAAAGCAAAAGTATATTTAAAGTGGGCTTTCAAAACTGGTTGTGAAGAGCATCGCGGGTCGAGTTGTTACACACATGGCTGCCATTCAAAGAGAGTGCCTAGTGGGAGACCCTCCGTAGGGTTCTCCTCATCTCCATGACCTGCAGTCTCTGCGGTTATCTTACACTCTCTTAGCCAGGTGAAACATTGGTCAGTGGCTGCAGGGCGGGATCAACGGGGTTATGTGGTGGTAATTTGAAGTGTGTCGAGTGCATCGGGCGATGAGCAAATGGATGGCGGCGATGATGCTATTAATGAATGACTCGGTGTATATATCATCTAAGCGGTGGAGGTGTGGTCGTGTCAACGTCATAGATCTCGGTTCAATGCGTCCACTTTGCATATTAGCACCTCGCGAATTGGAGCTCCCAGTCTCTAGACAGCCGGAAACGGATGCAATTAATGGATAAAACAGCCTCAGCGTGCTTTGATCTTATCTTGGGCATGATTTTTTCTGGGAAAAACGCCCTTAAATGGTGTCTCCTGTTTGATGGATGAATCAGTTCCGATTGGGAATTTTTCTGATGTAGGATATGCGGTACTTGTGATTCTTTTGCTCTGGTCCCCTTTTCAGGGTCGCACGCGGTGTCTTGAGCCACTTTTCCTTTTTCGCATTCTTACATGCAAATAAGTCACTTAAACTGTAACACTTGGGTTTGGCCAGCAGCTGTGTGTACGAACACTGACAAAAATTACAGGAAAATTGGAGAAATATACATATATATATATATATATATATATATATTATAAATTAAAATTTAAAAAAAATAGTTCAAAGTTCAATATTTAACTACTAATATAAATTTACTATTTCGATTTTATGAACAAGTTTCTTATGATTTGAATTTCTGTATTTTTCTCAATGTAATGTTGAGTGCTGACCAAGTCATAACCATAACCATGGCCATGGTCAGGCCTTTGTTCTATTGGAGCTGCTGCTGACCAAGCCCAACAAATATCGCATATTTTCATATAAGCCAGGGACGGAAAGTGAACTAAAAATTAAAAAAGGTGGTATAATATTACAACTTATTAAAAGAAAACTTTAAATGTAATATGTGTGTATGAATAAGCAAAGACACAATAAGCAACAGAATGGTTTAAGATGATCTAAATCGAAAACGAGTTGCATTTAAAAAATAATAACTTCCTATTCTGCGCAGTGCACCCTCGTTTTCTTCCGTTTCCCCAGAAGATCAAATAAAACTGTTTAAAGCTTTTCCCATATGAGGAAGCTAATGATTCATCCAAAACACTGGCACTTCCTGCCCGTCCCTAGTCTCTCACTTCAAATGCTGCAAGCCCAGATGCAATTTGAACCGAACCGATTTCATAAGGCCAGAACAAGTTTGCGCATAGATCAGTCCAAACGAAAAAGTTACCTAAGCGTTAGTTATATTTTTTTGCCTTTCCCTTTTCATGCGACAGACATTGAAACTTCTTGGTCGGATTTTGCTGTTGGCACATGGCGCATAACGAATCCATGGCTCCAAAATCCAATCCGAATCCACTCGACAATCAAATAATTTGACGCGAAATCGAACTGAATCGAGATCTATAAATGACATTCCTTCTAGCGCCTGGGCCTGGACATTAAATCGCCCCGGGTCTTTGGTCGTCTGTCAAAGAGAAGTGAAACAGCGCCGGCAACAATTTGTAGACCTCATCGAAAGGTGGCTCTCAAGCTGTGGCCTTAAGTCGTTAACAAATTTTGACTGCCAATCCGTTGTGCAGGCACAATAAAATAAAACGCCACAAACATTAAGTGTTTGTTGCTGGCTGCCAATGTCGTCGAGGGTTCTCTTTAGGTTTTTTCTCGGGGTTTCGGATGTCCAATCCCCGGATCGAAACGAATGACAAAAATGTGGGGGCCCAAGCCACCGATGTTGATCGATTCGATCAGCATAAAAAAACTTTAATTAGAACCAATTTAGAGCGTGGACCAATTTATCAGAAGCATTTTGAAAAGTAGTTGAAAACCAGTCGAGAGCAACTTCAGCATTTCCGACGGCGGGTGTTAGGGAGGTGTTGCGCCGATTTCATTATAGCTCTACATTACCCGACATATTATTGTTATGGCTTGAGCCCAGCTGAAGTGAACCGAAACAGCAAACTGAAATTGCCATTTACGCATTTGTTTTTCTTTGTCAATTGTTCCACTATTCGAGAGGTGTGGACCAGGTTCAAGTGCACATTCATAACTCTTATATATTTGTAACAATATGGAGTAGACACTGCGAGAGTTAGGCCATGGGTTAATGAACGTGCCGAAGGAAAATATATTGTTTCGCAAATAAAGATATTTCCGAAATAGTTTAAAACATATTTGTAAATAATAATACAAAATAAAAGGACAATGAACTTGGAATTTCAAGAATGCCACGTTTTAAGAATGTGTTGTAATTAAAGCTCTGCTACACCAAGCCGTGTTGCACAATCTATAGTTCAATTCAGAGAAAAATGGTGAAGTGACAGCATTCGTACCTGGTACCATGCTGAAGTATTTATTCAGCGAAAACTACCAACTATTGGAGTTGCCCTCTTGTTTTTTATTTTTGCTAACACTTTCAGCTTTACATACAAGTGGGAAACCAGTTAATTAATTTGGTTCGATTCTTGGCATCAAGATGGAATTCAAGACAGCCGCCAAAAAAGTTTTCTTTATATAACACTTCATTAATTACCTTTCGATTTCTGGTTTTTACCTTGGGCGGAGTCATGAACCTGACATCTAATGCCATTAGCCCAGCCGTTGCGGATCTGGGATTACAATATTCGAGTATTTGTTTGGATCATACAAGGAAATAATTTTATTGCCAGCATAGCTGATGCAACTACAAGTAGTTCCCCAATTCTAGTATCTATCGTATTTTGCCTTTGTGGGCACCCCAGGAGCTTGGCTGTTTGTTGAGTGGTTCTGGTTCTGATTGCAGCTGTGACTTGTTCCACTGCTTCCACTTCCACCCGGCGAGGAAAAGGTGTAGATCTCATAGTCAGTGATGGTAAAGTTGTAGTCCCCGAACAGCGTTAAATGAGCAGCGTTGGTTCCGTCGTAGGAGTGCGGAAGGTTCGAGTAGGAGTCCATGTTTGTATTGCAGTTGCTGGAGATGAGCAGATCGGCTCCAGCTCCAAAAATGGGACCGCAACTGAAGGGTAAAGAGGACATGTGAATATATATGAAACATAATGTATTATTTTAGATTGCTACAACAGCGTACTATTATAAAGAATTGGATCTCTACACCTAGTTCCATTTGACTTACTCTGGGTGATAGCAAATGGCATATGGTTTCTTTACAATGTCGAACTTGACCGGCTGTTCACCATTGGCAGGGTTTAAAGCAAACAGGAAGGCGCGCTCTGACTGAACATATCCCCCCTTACGGCTTGTTTTGGCCCACGCCACATCCGTATAACCACCACTGATCTCTCCATGCGATCCCAAGCCAATAACCATGCAAGGAGCCACGCCGTCGCAATAACGATGAAAGGCTCCAGAATCGTAGCCATGAGTGGACGCTCGGAAAACTAATCTCCAGGATTGCTTTCCCACTCCAATCCAATTATTGAGAACAGTTTGTAGTGCGAGATTGTCATTCTTTAGAATTTGGGAACCGGGAAACATGTTAACCGCTACAGTTAGGCGGGGCTGAAGTCTTTTATCATTGTCCATCATTTTATTGGCATGCAAAGCGGCATAGCGATATCGCTCTAGGGACAATTCCATAGGTACAGCTCCTGTAGGCTCCACCTCTTCCGCAAAAACTTGGCTATCGATGAGAAGAAGACGAACGTGGCCCATTACACCGCTTAAGTGTTGGCAGACACGAGCACGCTCCTCCTCAGTCCAATGTGCTGTGGGTTGGGTGACGCCTGCCTGGTACTTGGCCCAGGACAAAACACAGCGCCACACTTCCTCCTCCTCCAAGCAGAACTATTTGAATTTTGTTAATTATTGAAATAAGTTTTAAATATGAGTGAATATGCGTCTTACATAGTCTGAAGAAATAATCTTAATGATGGCATCCTTTGTTAAAGTGAGGAAGGCATTAGTCTTAACGCACTCATTTGCATTTTCCCCAATATAAATGATGCAGCGTTCCATAAACGAGGCAGCGCATTTTGCACCTGTAATTACAAGCGGAATGTTTATAATTAATACCTTGTTTTTTAAAGGCACTTGACGGCTTTTACCTTTGTAAAGCTTCCTATTCTAATGTCCTGAAATCGATTCGTTTTAACTAAAGGTAGTAAGGACCCATTCTAAACACTTGATTACAGAAAGTCTACCATTTATTTGAACATTCGTCTTCAGATATCGGCTTTACATTTATGTTACTTATATTAAGAGCGTTCAGCGCTTGCAGGTGGATTGGAACTGAGTCCCTTAGTCCTTCGTGGGACTGACGTTCTGTATGAGCGTGATGTTGTCGCCCTTGAGCATGATCCTCCCGAGGTTGCGGCGCTGGCGGGTCTTCACATAGACTTCCTCGGCATCGTCCAGCACCAGATTCATGTACTCATCGAATCCCACAATGTGGCCCTCGATGCGCAGCGATATGTTTTCGTATAGCCAGACCTGCACGCGCGACCGGTTTTGCAGATAACGGAAGATCAAGTTGATGGGCTGCACCATCACCTTCTGCACCTTCGGATTGCCTTTGAACGACATTTTTGCTGATTTCCGGCGACTTTAATTTAGTTAAACAAATTTTCGCTTCTTTTTGCCGGCGTCTTCTTTTCGTCCAGGCGATAGGCATAAATATCGATGACTACATATGGCACATATGGTCACACTTTATCGCTGTTTACAGAACTATCGATTTGCAATGTAAAGAATACTGAAATCCTAAGACATCTGGTATCAGAGTCATATCGATAGAAATACTATCGCAATCGCACTGTTAAGTTTTTGTGGTTGGGCAGAAGTTGTTGCCATTTTTCATAGCTGAATTAAACTATAGTTTATAACACACCAAACAAATGGCCATGGCTAATGTGGACAAAGGCGAACTTATGGAGCAGGTGAAGCAACAGGTTGCTGTTGCGAATGCTCAGGAATTGCTCACCCAAATGACGCAAAAGTGCTTCAAAAAGTGTGTCAATAAGCCGGGAACTTCCCTCGATTCGTCGGAACAGGCAAGCTATATCTTATTTTGCACAATAAAATAGAATTTTAATTTTTGTCACATTAAATACACGATTTAGAAATGCATTTCCATGTGCATGGACCGGTTTATGGACTCGTGGAACCTAATTTCTCGGACGTATGGCCAAAGATTACGACGTGAACAATCCAAGTTCTAGAGACATACATCGGCTTCTGCATTTTGGGGCAGATCGGGAATAACTATATCTGCCAGCTACTAATTAGTTGTTATATCTAAAGTTTGATAATGCAATAAAAACATGCATTGCGTGTTACGTGATTCTGATAACACAATGTGCATATGTTTTTCTATCGATAAGTGGTGTGCGCTTAGCTGTTATTAGGCTGTTATTTAAAAATACCAAAACTTGCTTTCAGAATGGTTAATGTCAATACATTTGACATAGCATTTCATGCCTAATGTATAAAGTCTTTTGGCGCGAATATGGAATCTGACATAATTGTATACTTTTAAAAATGTTACAAACTAAAAATTTCCTATTAGCTAAGCATGATTACTCACCTGCTTTTTCGTGTATATCCATGACGGCGGTTAAAAACGTGCAGGCATTATCCACCGACAAAGTGGATATTACGTGATCCTCGCAGGCGGTTCGCAACTCGACCACGCCGATATCCTGTGCCAATATCATCATTTGAAATACTTGTGAGTCCTGGAGAACCAGCTGAAAAATTAATTTTGGTTATAATTTCTTTTTGTTCAATATTACAACTATATATTTTTACTACCTTTGCCGTGTAGACGTACAAGATGAATTGCCGAAATAGTTCCGGATTTACGTGTGGTAATCGTATGGTTGTCGGAGTCGAAGCTCCTGGGGCTGCTGGGGATACTGTGCATCCGGGAATTCGACACACTTCCCCTCTCTTCGCTGTCTTGAAGCTCTTGCACCTGAAATCGAATAGAGTGAAATGGAAGGCAAGACAAATTAATTAAGTGACCAACTTGAATTCCTGAGATTCCAGCACGCAACATTGTAAGATTCCAAAAAAGGAAACCGAAAGACAATTATCTTATTCCACAGAGAAAAATTATACAATTAAAGGCATTTTAAGATTTTAATATATGAAACGCGAAGGCATCATCTAAATATCTCTTAATTGGTTGGGAAAAAAACTTTGAACTCACCGAGCCATCAGCATTAATCTGTGGGCGTAGATGCGCTCATCTCTGCCGCAAATAAACACAACATCTGCGCTATCCTGATCCTCCGAAAGGCGCTGCAAATCCTCGATCAACTGGGGCAGACTCATGGTTGATTGAAATTATTAAATGGGACAGTCTTAATTACAATAAATTCAATCATTCGTGCAGAAGTGCACGTGTTGCCTTGTCCCTCTGCAGGCACTGCGTTTTGTTATTATTTTGCTATTGGGTTTGTTTATGTTTTCACTTCCAGATCCAGCTTAAAGACTCTCTTTATTTCTCTCTTTTGATCGCTGGGTTCGTGGGAGCGCAGAAACCGGTTCCGGGCTGAAAATTCTTGGCCGACACCAAGCCACAATCGATTTGGCGAACAATATGGCCTGGGAAAATATTACAACCAGGTTAAATGGTATTATTTCTTCATAAATTCGTAGTAATACTGCACTATTTATTTTGCACAGTTGGAATGAAGCATTTTTGAAACTATTTGAACCTTGCATCCACCTAATATGATTTTATTTGACCGCTGGTCGATCTTCTCGCGGTCGCGATTTGCTAAAGACTAAAGAAGAGACTTGGGACAGGTTGCTCTTTTGGATCTTTCTCAGTTTTTCTCCCAAGCAGGTACACGAGATTAGTTTTTGTTTTGCTTTTCTCCATTGTGCTCTCTCAGAGTGATCATTTCTCAGATAAATTTTATGGGGATGCTAGAGAATTCAATTCATGAATGAATATAGTTAAGGACGACAGGAATATTCTTTTATTGTATCCGTGGTATTCACTATACGCAACCAAGGTTTAAGTAAACTTTAAAAGCAAGGGAGATCGCATGGGCCGGGCTCTCGACTATCAGATACCCGTTACATTATATGTAATTAATGGGTTGGCTCTTCTCCAAAGGGTCAACCACGCGGCCACGGAAATATATGTTGTCATTATCGCGAATCATGAAGACAAAGGGTCTATCGACTCTGACTGAAGCCACATTGGCCGGATAATCTGGAAAATGCACAGGCAATCAAATAGGAACCTCATACAAATTTTTCATAATTTACCAGACCATCCTCGCAAGAGGCTTGCAGATGCGGATCCTGCGGACGCGCCTTCTTCGTCGATCTCTATAAAGGCTTTGTGTACGACTTGGCTGATTCTGGTCGTTGCCTGGTTCAGTAGGTGGCTGATATCCGACGAAGTGTTGAAGAGCTCCTTTATTCCCATCTGTAAGTTTGGAAACTTGTTGTAAATTATTTAATGTGTCCAGAAAGTACCAACGCTTTTAAGAGTCTCGACGAGCTTTGTGCGAAAATCGAATTTAAATTTGGGAAGCTGCACATGTACATCCATTTCAGTGAGGTGTATCTGCAAGTAACTTTCGAGTGTGGCTTCTGCCTGATTTAGCGACACAATGTCCTTGGGCAGAACGATTACCATTGAAAGGTTTGAGTATGCGAAAGGCAGCTCAATAATTTGGTCAAAGGAAGAAGTACGCATTTTAAATCGACCCACTTGAGACATCATATGGACCTTTGTTCTGTGTACTCTGGATACATAGAATGTCTTGGGCTCGGTGTTCTTCTTTTCGAATCTTGTCTTCCAGTAGCCCTTGAAGAAAGCTGCGTTGATCATGACCGCACTTTCATCGGGCGCCAGATCACTGGGTGTCATAATAGCTTTCACATTATCCAGTGTCTGGTCGAGCACCCAATCGTTTATAATCCAGGCTGCCTTTGATCGATCGGCCAGCTTAATAGCCTCTGCCTCGGCCCTAAAGTACCTATTAACCAGTTTATTGTAGCGCTCGTTAACACCAATTGTTTCGTTGACGAACAAGCGATTCGCCAAATGGAGAATGGCTACCTTCTTGCGCTTTTCGAGTTTGGTCAAAAGCGCATCGTATATGGTAGCTACTTCCTTTTTATCCTGTGGAAGATTCAGAGCCGTCCTTAGTTCATTGGATGTATTTCCTTTCGCTCCCATGAGGATCATGCTCATTCCAATCTCAACACAGAGAGGCGAGGCAATTATGTTCTGTTGATTGTTATCCTGCACAAGGTTTCGGTAGAGCTCTTTGCTAAATTGACCTAGCACTGAAGTGGTCAGTAAGATCCAACCTTAGGGAAAGGAAAAAGAGTCAAAGGTAAGCGGTTAGGAATATGGCGCTACTTACACAAGTACTTCATGTTCTGCTCTCTATGTAGGGCCACTAAAAACTAAAAGTATTTTACGCAGTCTACAAGATTTTCTTAGTATCGATTTGTTATAGTACATTAAATCATTATAGACGGAGTTCTAATTTAACCTTATAAGATTACACTTCGAAACTGGTCTATATAGAAACAGCAACCGAAAACAATTTCGCTATAAAAAAATGTTCTTTGCATACCATTATTTTTTATATGTTCAATAAGAAAAGCAATGGTTTGGATTTTATTTTATTTCGTTTTTTCATTAGGCAGTTGAACGACACGTCCGCGGAAGTAGACGGTATGCTTATCGCGAATCAAGAAGGCAAATGGGCGATTGACCTTAAAGGACGCCAATGCTTTTGTATTTTCTGGAATAAAAATGATTAAATTAATGGATAAGGTAATCTATAGAAAGGTTTTAGCATACTAGGGAAAGTCTCCGCGGTTTCTGCCTCTGCTCCTGTCGATGCTCCTCTTTCGTCGATCTCAATGAAGGATTTGTGTAGTACATTGCTTATTTTGGCGCCTGTGCCGTTTGTCAAAAGGCCGCTGAGATCCGAGCTATTACTAAAGAGCAGGTGTATGCCCAACTGAAATAGAAAGCATTTTAGCACTGATTACATTTTCAACAGAACCTACCCACTTTTTTCAGGGGCTCAACCAGATCCGTGCGGAATTCGACTTTAAACTTTGGCAGCTCCACATGGACATCAGTTGCTTCTAGGGTCTCTGAGAATGTTTTAAGTCTCTTTTCTACAGAGCTTAGATAAGAGTTATGCAATGGCAGACCGATTATCATCGACAGGCTTGAGTTATCAAACGGCAGCTCAATGATTTGTCCATAAGATTGCTTAGCCATCCTAAACCTACCCACTTGGGACATCATCCTGACATGAACTGCCTTATTATGATCTTCATTGAACACTTTTAGCTTGGTGCCCTTTTTCTCAAACCTAGCTTTCCAGGCGCCACTAAATTGGGCGGCGCTAACCATCACAGCACTTTCATTAGGTTGTAGTTCATAGCCACGAAAAATAGTGCGCATGTTCTTGTGAATCGGGCGCTGGATCAAAAAGCTGATACTACGGCTTTCCTTCAATCGTTGAAATGGATCGGTAGCCTCTGCCTTTGCCTTGGTGTTATTCATTAAGTTGTTGTAATCCTCGTTTATTTCATATGCATCACTGACGAACAGGCGATTTGCAAAATGAATTCCATTATGTTTTTGGAGATTGGACAGAACCTTCTCGTATTTCTTGGCCACTTCCATCATATCCACAGGCAGGTCCAGAACGCTCCTAAGTTCCTCGGCGGTTCTTCCTTTAGCTCCCATGAAGAGCATGCTTATAGCAATTTCAATGCAAAGGGGGGAAGCAATAAAATTTTTTTCTTCCTTATCCATTACAACTTCAAGTAGGTTTTGCTTGAATTTACCCAGCACTGAAGTGGCCATTAAAAGCAGAACTTCGACACGAACGTTCATTAGAGTACATTAGAGTACAAACAATACTTCTATTTGTTTTAGTACTCACCTAAATATTTCATTTTACTGTTTTCTCGCATGATTGCTTAAAATTGCAGGTAATCTAACGTCCTCTATTTATATACCTTCTAAAGTAAATTCCGATTTATCATAGATTTGTGCATTTAAAAACCCATTATGCACGGATCTAAACTGCATTCAAACGTTAACTTGTGGGCTGGGGCAGAGGGGATTTTGTTTGTATTGAAAATACTTACAATTTGTATTAAGATGTATGATAAATAAAGAGAACACCCCTTTCATCATTTTACGTTCAAATTCTTTACAGTTGGTTGAGCGACACCTAGTGTTTATTAATGGAACATTGTAATTTGACATGTAAGCACTTTTCTACTCAACATGTAAAAATACATTCATCGTTACATTCCACAGTTAGTTGTTTATTCCAACATTAGAATCTAAAAAGTCTATAATAAGATAAAACTCCCTTTACTTATCCTTATTATTAAGCTTTCAAAAATACACTTTTGTTACTTTCGCAGATGCCAAATAAAAGTTTCGTTTTAAATTTTGTTTTAATATAAAAATACATACATATATAAATTTGTTTTTCGACGACAAAACTTTTAATACCTTTGCGTCTTAATTTGTTTTTTCAGGATTACTTACAGCAGCTTTACGTCGTAAAGAAAAATCAGATTGATATATTTTGCATAATATTTATCGCCTTTTTATTTGTTCTTTTTGTTTTCATTACATAAGTAATAATTTATTTTTGTTTTCGTTTGTATTTATTTGTTTCTGCACTACTTAAATATGAAACGTTGAATTCAAATTTGTTTTTTCATTAACTGTTTAATTTGATTAAACTTTATTTGCTTGTGGTGCATTTCATATTATATTATCGCTCATTCTCCTTTATCTCCCGAATTCTCACTACATTTTCTATGGTTTATTTGCTCCACAATTTGTACATTTTATTTCTGCATTCTGAATCGTCAGACATATAATAATGTATATGTGTATTTTGACAAGACGCGGATTTGTTGCTGCATGCTTAAATAATTAAAATATAACTTATGCCATTATTTTGTGATTTCTCGTTCATCTGGTTGCTTAGCCTTTGCACGTTTATGTTTTAACAATTTGAAGTCGATTCATTAAGCGGGGCAAGGATGCTCGTATTTTGGTAGGCATCATTCTATGTCGTATTTAAATTTAAATATAAAGTAGTCATATATAAACACTCCGGTTATGTAAAATTTGTCAATATGTTTAAGTTATTAATTATAAAAATGATTGTTTGTTTTGTTGTTTATCTCTTTGGGTTGTTAGCAAAAATGATACAAAAAATGTTTGGGTTTTTTTCGTCTTCAACTATTTCCATCGCTTGTAAAATTTGGCCATAAATACACGATATTGCTGAAAACCGTTTTGACGCTTTTGATTAACCATTATTCGTCCCATTTTATTCGGTACTGTTCTGTTTTGATGGGTTCTAACATTTATCTATAAATTTCGTTTAGTATCGTACTCGTACTGATTCTGGTCTGGCAAATGAAACACAAAATTTGAGAGAATTCATTTACAATAATAAGTATATTTTTGTATTTATTTTGCATAGCAATTGTAATTTGTTTTTTTCCATATTTTTTATTTGCATTTTATAACGCTTTTAAATGTGTATAACAATGAAATTTTGCATGCTAGATGTCTCAATTCAAATTATTTTATTAAATATATAATGGTTTCGTTTATCGCTTTTTAAATTTATACAACTTTACACAGTTTTAGCTTAAGATATAGACAAATTTTGGTTTGAATTTGTTTAAATGTTTTTGTTGCCTTTTCGTTTTTTTATTTTGTTTTAGCTTAGAAAGTGTATTCTTAAATACAGAACGAAATGTTTTCTTTTAGAAAGTACAAACACACACAGGCATAAATAATTTATGAAATATGTTTTTATAACAAAAGTTTATAGATTTTAGAAATCTCTGCGTTCTTTTCGCTTGGCTCTTGGCTTCGGTTTATTTCCAGTTGGTTATCATCCAGAAGATATATAGCATATACATGTTTTTCACAAAGTGTTGGCAACTAAAATCAATAGTAGTCTAATCTCGTCGAAGGAAAAATTATATATACAAAAAAGGGACCATTCGATGCCATTCACAATAGCGAAAGAACTTCGCCGAAGAGAAGCCTTAAGAACTAGTTGCAAATGTGATTGTTGTATGGTTACGATCTATGAAACTAAATGCCTACAGAGCAAAGCTTACAAAGTGAAGAAGAACAGAAGACTAATTATAGGTCTAGCAGCTACAATAAATATTAATCTTTATGTATATGTTTATGCATCTCGCTAAGGCTTAGCATTAATGAATATCCGCGCTTGATGCTCATCATATATCATATTCTGCGATATATATAATATATTACTCAATTTTGTATGGTATAATTTTAACGCGGCAACTTCTTATTCATAGAAATGTGTTATACTTTCATTATGATGAATTATCTTAGAATTGTTTGTTTTGTTATCATTTGTTTTTTCTTGTTGTCTGTGGTGGGTTCATTTTGTGTGTTTTCTCTCTCTTTGCTCTATCAACTTGTATGTTTAACTTAAAAGTAGGATTAAACTTAATTTAATTACATTGGTTGCCAGAGGGCGATGCCCACTGTCATAAGAACCAGCTGCCTGTGTGACCAAAGAAAAACCTTTCCTAAATTTTGTTTCGAAAGCCTCGCTTTGAATATTGTTTTGGGTTTAAATGTTTTGCAGAGCTTACGAGATAAAAAATAATAACTTAATTAGGTAAACAGTAAGTGGTAAAAAACACGCACAAATTTGTCGTTGAATAATATACAAAAATTTAATTTTTTAAAGCTTTGGTTTCATTTATAATTTCTGCAAGCAACGCTGAAAGATTTCGAAATGGAGAAGCCTATAATAATTAGTATTTGTCCTTTTTGTTTTTAAAAGTGAGATCAATTCAAGCTGTTTAAAAGCGTTTTAAAATGTTTCTTAAAATTTTGAATAGTTTTAGCATTAAGGGAAAATGGTTTGCAAAGAAGTAAATTTCCCGGTTGTTGTTTTGAATTTACAAATTTTAATTTTTATAAAACAGGCGTTTTAAATTTTTTTCACTGAAGCATCCAGACTCATGTAACATAAAGGGAGCATTACAAATCTTAAATTTTGTATAGAAGTATTTGAAGTTTGTCAAATGTTATTTTGCTCTTAAAACAGTTTGCTTTGAATGCCCATATTTAAATATTCAAATTATGCAAATATATATGATTTAACGTTTACAGTGCCGTTCCCTTACATATAATATTGAACAATTTAAAAGCAACTTTCGCCACCTAGATTTAACTCCTTCTGGTTACGAAGCATTTTACTTTCTCTAAAATACTCCTATAATGAAAAACATGTGCGTTAGGCTTTGTGCTTGAATTTCGGCTGCACTTTCTCCTCCAAAGGAAATGGGATTTTAACTAAGTTCTAGCTGTTCTGTCGTGTGTGTGAAAGAGCTTTTCTTTGAGAGGTTTTCGGGGCTTCTATCTCTAGGCTATTTCCTTTTTGATTTGTAACTCGCAGTTCGTTGTTGCTGATGCAGTGGTGGATGTGGCTGCAGTGGGTGGTGCTGGTGGCGTCTGCTTCTTGCTGGCCTTGGTGGCCATCGGGGCATGTGGTGGTGGTGGTGGTGGTGGTGCTGCTGCTGGATGGTGTCCGGCGACGGCTGATCCACAGAGCACAGAGCTCTGGGGTCCCACCCGCTGGCGCTGCTGCTGCTGACGCTGCTGCAATGGCATTTCGTCGTCGTCGGAGTCCTCCTCTTCCGGATCCTCCTCCGCTTCCTCCTCCTGGCTTTCCTCTGCGAGCCTCTGATTGTTACCGTCGCTGCACGCATTGCTACTCATTTTTTCCAGTGCATGGCAGGCGGACATCTGGGCCTTCTTCATCGAGGACTCGTCGCTGCTGTTACTACTATCGAACAACTGTCCGGCAGTTGCCGCCGAGTCCGGCGAAAGGGGCGTTGTGGCCGTGGGGGGCGTGGCTAGAGCACTACTGTGTGGAGCCTCTACTTGAACCTCTTCGTCCTCATCCTCGTCGTCTTCGTCTTCATCCTCCTCCCCTTCCTCGTCGCTGGAAATTTGACTGGGCTGCGGACTTTTGGGATTATTAGTTGGGGTGGTTTTCTCCCCATTTGTTTCAAGTTTTTCCAGATCGTGCGACTCCGTGCCATGGGAAGGACTTTCTTCATCCTCCACCTGCTTGTCCTCAATGTTCTCCCCAACCTGCAGCTTTATTCTCTTGCTTTCAGGCTCCTCTGGTTTCTCGCACTCGCCCCCTTCACTCCCACAGCAATTTGAGGGCGTGACGCTGCGCCGCAGACCATTGGTTGGGGCCTTCATCAGGGGAGATGGCTCCTGTTGATTATTGTTATTAGCCCTGTCCTCCATTTCCTCTTCCTCCAGCTCCTCGTCCTCCTCCGCTGCTCCTCGACCCTCTTCGACCACGTGCTCCAGTCGGGTTTGGTGCTTGAATGGCATCTTCCGAAGATCCACTTTACAGACCTGCTCCTCGAATTGCCTGCGATAGCGTTGGAGTTGCTCCGTAAGATCGGCTATATGGGCGTCTTGCTTGTGGAGCAGTTCACTCAGTTGAATGTTGTTATAGCGATATTGATCGTTCTCCTGCAGCAATCTCTGGAGTATCAGGAGGACCCTCTCCCGGTCCTTGGGTCGAGTTTCTCTGAGGGACTCCACAGCCTGCTCCCAGGGCGGCAACATGGCACTCGAGTCGGGCTCTCCGTTCAGACTGTCCGTATCATCGGTGTCCGTGGATAACTCAAATTCACTGCCCAAATGGGGCTTACCGTTTTGTAAACTATGATTTCCCGATCCTCCCGAGCTGAGATGGGCCTTGGCTTGAGTCGCATGATGCGGCGAGCTGACCACGTTCGATGAGTGGGTACTCAGGTTCAGGCCAGCACTGGAGGATTGAGTGGGTGAGGAGGCCTGGCTTTTGTAGTACCCATGGCTGAAGTGATGCATGTGCG